GTAGGGCACCCTGTTCCTGAAAGCCCGGGCTGTGAGCCCTTCAGGCCATTCCTGCCTCTACCCTGCCCCCTCGTGGAGCATCTGGGTGCAGCCTGCCTAAGGCCCGCGGTGAGATCTCCGTCCATCCTAGTGTTCCCAGGCAYGGAAGCCTGTGCTGGGCCCCACACAGGCGGGAAAGGGCAGCCCCTCCAGGGAGAGTCCTGCAGCGGCTCTTCTCTCCTCTTCTGGGGCCTGTGGCAGCCTGGGCTCCACTCCACTCTGTGGGAACCCTCCCTGCAGGTGAGGGCCTGTCTTCACCTGAGCACCAGGTGGGTGGGTGACGGGCAGTGGAGGAAGGAATGGAGAAGGAGTAGAGCAGCGTCACAAGCAGGGGCTCTGGAGGGACACAGGAAGCATATGCCACTTGCTGGCTGCTGGCCCTGGGAAAGTCACTAAGCTCTCAGGGCCTCGGGTTCCTCACGTATGATATGGGGACAACACTAGTACCTGCTCAGGAGGGCCGCTGGAGGAGCTGTCACCACTGCTGCCATTTTACAGCTGGGGGAACAAGCTCAGAGAGAGTGAGGGTGGAGTCGGGGGCTGTCACATGGGGTCCTCTCACTGCAAGTGCTGCCCTTCCACTCATCCTGTGTCCTGGTCACCACTGAACCACGCACACCTCAGAAGAGAGGGACATGGCAGTTCCCGGGTGGCCCCCATGCCCACCACCAGGCAAGTACATAATGATGCACAAGCCCTCATGCATGAAGGTCACATTGTATACTTGTTTCCAGGTCCATTTTCAGAGAGCTGAAATACACTATAAAACCTATGGTTACCTCTCACCTTTAAATATCGTCTCAAAAGACAAATGCAGGATTTCTTACTGGGGCTCTATTTCTGTTCCTTCTCAGTGGAAATCAGCTTAAGTGTGCCTAGTAAGCATGATTGCAGGAATCAATTCACTGCTTTTAACCCACCTGGGGATTACCTTTAGTCCAGAGGGGTTAAATATGTGGCACTTAAGGGACTTATCTTGGGAGCTACTCCTTTTTCTTTCCTTCCATTTTTTATGCATTTTACAAAACATCAAGGGAAAATACATGATCTTCAATTATCTGCACAGGGCCTGCTTACTAAGCAGCACAAGGCCCGAGGAACCGCAAAGCGATTTGGGCATCACATCTCTGCAGGACTGTGCTGGGGTCAGTCTTAGGCTGTCRGGGGTAAGGCACAAAAGTGTTGGTTGTCCAAAAGTCAAATGTTTAAAAGGAGGTGAGCTGCAGCCTTACCTCCTCCCTGTCCTCTGCCAACTGAGGCAGTGACTCCTCCCTCTCCTGTGAGATTCCAAGGGTTGCTTGTTAGTGTGCAGGCTCTGAGCTGGAGGATGGCAGAGGTCCACCTGAAGCCTGGTGTGCAAGGTGGGATCCAGGGCCTGCATTTAGCAGGTTCCATAGGTCAGTGGTTCTCAAACTTTGCTGCCTTCAGAACCACCTGAAAAGATCCCAACGTCCAGGCTTCTTCCCAGGTCACTAATCAGAATCTCTGGGAAAGCCACTGGGCATTGGTGTGTATTAAAGCTCCAAGGTGGTCCTAAGGTACAGGAAAGTCTGGGACCACTGCTGCACTTTGGTTCTGTTTGGGATCAGCCGACCTGGATAGTGGAGGGGACACTGAGAATCGAGGGGCGGGATGAGGAGGAGCCTGGGTGGGGTGGGCAGGGTGGGGGTGTGGCCAGAGCCTGCAGGGGCAGAACTAGGCAGGACCCGCTGTGACCAAGCCAGCCCGGGCATGCTCGGGAAGCATCTTAGAGTCATCAATCCATTTTGTCTTCCCCAAAAACCCAGTGGTGTCTGCGGAGGGTCCKATTCCAGAAGCTCATCATAAGAGGCTTTCCTGTGAACAGCTTCAACTTGGAAGGATGGAGGCTGCTTCCTTCTTCCTCTGACTTTCCCCTGACAACATTCTCTTTGCCATGATTTTCCACTAGGGCCCAAGTGGCAGTGTGTTTGCAAAGATCAGTCTCCCACTGCTCCACAGCACTGTGGCAGTCAGGACTCTTGGGGAAATGGTCAGGGTTTGGGCATGTTCATGTCTATGGCTGGGAGAGCAGGGGTGGGGTCCAATCCCCAGGGAAAATGAGAGCCTGGTAAGAGGGAACAAGGGCCCAGAGGAGTGTCCTAGAGTTTGAGTAACAGAGCCAGCCTGCACAATGAAAGTACCATTTAGAAGATCCTGGGGACCTCTATGCATGTACACACTATTTGTAACCCCAGTATACATGCCCCATGCACATACACTATGTACCCTCCCCAATGTACACACTCATGTATACACTCTATGTACAAACCTCAATCTATATACCCCATGTACATACCACATGTATACACCCCAATATACACACCCATGTCACACACCCTAATGTGCACTCCCATAAAACACCCTGTGTACACACACCAATGTACACCGGCCAAACTATCAGCCCTGCATGGCGGGATCCGCATGCAGCCCTGTTTTCCTCTGTGCACATGGGGTGGGGTTGATTGGTTCTCAGGAGTCTGGACTACTTGTGACCTGCAGCCAAATGCCCAGGATCTCCATGCTGGCAAGGCAGTGGGACCGGGAGGGTCCCCAGCACTGCACAGCTGTGGAGGGCCTTCTGCCTGGACTGTCTGGGAACCTGCGGCCACTAGGTGGTGCCATCAGCAAAGGCTGGGTCAGAGACCCGGGAGCCCAGCCCTCCAGCAGGATCCCTTAAGCCACCTGCCTAGCCCCAGGGAAGGTTTCCTGTAACTCTGTAACCCGCTGCATGCCCCAGGGTCTTCAGGCAGGTACCTGGGAAGGGAGCTTTTCTGGGGGATTTGCAACTTGACTTGGAGACCCATGGAGTGGGTACCCACCTGCTCACCTCCCACTCCATCCCAGTCTGCATCCTATCCCTGTGCTGGGCACCAGGAAGGAGGGATGCACAGCTGCATCAGGGCAGGGGCTGTGCCTTGAGTATGTCACAGGCCAGGCCCAGCACGTCCCCATGCCTTATGCCCTCCACCCTCCCAACAGCTCCCGGGGCAGATGTTATTGTGCCCACATTACTCTGAAAGTTCARACAGCTTGTCACAGCCACATAGAAAGAGCCCGTGTGTGACTGGGTCAAGTCCCATGTTCATTTATAGACTCTCAGTGCTGAGAGGAGAGGTGCAGGACATGACATATTGAATACCAAGTGACACTCTAGCTGTTTGAGGTCAGCAATTCCGCAGCCATCCCTTCCTCAGCAGGCCCCTGGGGAGCACTTCTGTGTGCACCTTGTGTTTCAGGCACATGGCAGAAGCAGGGCCCAGACCCTGCCCTCAGCAAGTCCACCAACCCAGGGCCGWGACAGCTCCAACCAACCTGGCTCTCAGGGCAGGAAGGAGTCATCGCTTCTGCCAAAGAGTGCTGACAGCACAGGGACCCTCAGAGATGGCCAGGGGAGTCCATGGAGCTGCCAGGCGTCTAGTGCCACAGCCCTGCAGGGAAGTGCCTCCCTCCGTGGAGTCAGGAAGCCAGCCAGCAAAGCCAAGTGACCGTCACTTTCACAGTACTCAATGCCACCTGAATAAACCACCCCTATCTAATGCCTGCTTCTCCATCAGCTTAAGTACAGGGAAAGCTTAAATCCATCTTGCAATGCCTAAAATTTAAGAGAAGCTATAACTAGCTCAGGAAATGGTTGTTAGGTGAATGAAAGCCCAGAGGAGGCCAAGGTCAAGAGTGGGTGAGTAGAGTTACGAGAGGCATTTGGGTCTAGGCCTTGACCCAGACTGTGTCCATGGCCACTTTGGGTCTGTTTCCTTCTCAAGAAGGGAAGATAAATTTGTGTGAATAACCCACATCACGGCCTGTTCTGTAACCATGAAATGCAGATTCATAAGCCACATAGAGTAGGGCCCTTCTGACAGAGGGAGACCCTGGAGCCCAGCCGAGCCCACCCTGCTGCCCCACAGAAGCCCTGGCCTCACCTCTGCTCACCCCAGAGTTCAAGTGTCACGGTTGAGCCCTGGAGGATGCTCTGTGGCCTAGAAGTGGCAGGGCCAGCTCCTGCCCTTGCTCTGCGTCCTCCGGGCATCCTCTTCCTCCCAAGGTCTTTGTCTCCTCTGGGACCTAGAGTGAGGGGCCTGGATGGGATTCAGGCGGCAGCTAGGGAGGGCAGAATCCCAGAGGCACAGAAAGCTCAGAGCTCCAGACACCAGGGCCGTCCACCAGACCAGCCTTCAAGGCCGCAGTTGCTCCTTTCAGCTGTCCCTTTTGCACTGTACATTGCCAGAGTGAAGATGAACTTGCTGACCAGGAGGTGGGAACAGCGTGTTGTGGGCTGCCGGTGGGAGGGGTGGAGTGAGACCYATCACTCTGACTGCAAAATGAAGACTCTTCTCTAGGGGTTTGCTCTAGCAGCTGAGCCCTGCCCACCTCCCCGGGGCTAAGGAGATCCAGACGCAGGGAGCTGAGGTCACGTTCCTGTGGCTGCAGCCTGCCCGCCTTTCTTGACAGCCAGTGGCAATATCAGGCCCCCTGGCCCAGCCTGGGCTTAAAGAGCTGTCATCGGCTCAGCTGGGACCCAGGAAATCAGCAGAGGAAAGACGGGGCATCTTGAATGCAGGGAGCACCGTGAGACACCAGCCAGGTCACTGCAGTGCGACTCTCTTGTCAGCAGGCCCTCAGCTGCCCAAAGCCTGGGCCCCCTCCTCTGTGACCTGAGACCACCTCCCCTGCCCCTGGGAGTGTGAGGATGAAAGGGAAACAGGAAAGACTGTCAAAGAGAAGGCAAGCGCGAGCCGACGTCCAACCTGGGCCCAGCGCTTTTCAGAGATTTGGGCTCCTGGGCCTTATTTTATTGAAAAGGAAGGAGACGCTTAACTATCCAATGCAAGGTGGAAAGTCTATTAAATTCCGACACTGTGAAGATGGGAAGGTGGTGGCAGGGCCTTAGGGCTTCTATCCCCTCCTCAGCAGCCCCCCTCACTGCTGCCTTTCCCCCACAGGCCCTCGCCCGGGCCCCCACAGCCATGACCTTCACCCCRGCACCGCTGGAAGACACAACGGCAAGCCCTCAATTCTGCAAGTGGCCGTGTGAGTGCCCGCCATCCCCACCCCGCTGCCCACTGGGGGTCAGTCTGATCACAGACGGCTGTGAGTGCTGCAAGATATGTGCCCAACAGCTTGGGGACAACTGCACAGAGGCTGCTGTCTGCGACCCCCACCGGGGCCTCTACTGCGACTACAGTGGGGACCGCCCGAGGTACGCAATAGGAGTGTGTGCACGTAAGTGAGAGCCTCCGTACCTTCCACCTGGCCCCAGGACCCCAGCTCTGGCCCGGGGCCCCTCGCCCTGGGCACCCTTGCAGGCAGCCATTCACCTGGCCAGGCCTCAGCTTGGCAGGAGGCACCCCCAGCCCAGCCCAGCCCATGGTGAGAAGCCACAGGGCAGGTCCCTCCTGGGGAGAAGGCGATGCCCATGTGCCTTTCATCCCTACACCTTGACTCCTTGCTCCCTTCTCAGTCTGGAAACATCCTTCTCTGGTAAGGAGTTTCCCCAGGGAAGACCTGTTCTCTTAGTGGGTGGCACCATCCCAAGGGATGCCAGGTCACTTCAGAGCACCTCACCGCTTAGTACTATTATAAATTAAAATAATGTGGTTAAATCCAGTAGGCTTGAAATAATAAAAACCAGCAGCCTGCAACCACCCCTTCCTACCAACCACCTTCTCTGGGTTACTTACAGTCACTTTTAACTTTCTTATATTTTCCACTGAGTGACTCATGCCTTCTGCTGTATTTTAACTGGACTGATATGTCAATTTTGGATAATTTGTTWATAATCCTATATGATAACTGATGACTTAGCTCCTCAGTGTCATCTAATACATCCCTTTTCTTTCAATGTCATTGCCATAATTTGGGGGTATACAATAATTAGTATTTTTAACCTTATGAATATGGGAATAATGCTCACTACAGTATAAGATAGTGTACTTGATTATTTCTGTTTTACAATGCCTGGAATGTTTCCTGGAGTTTCTAATTGCCTTTGCTTTTTTCTTTGCTCTTGGTCTTTACATCATCCTCGTGTATTTGTTTGCTCTTCAAGTGTTTGCTCCACTGTGGGTACCCTGCTCTATTTTGTTTTCAGAGACTGCCTCTCTAGGGCTTTCTGACCTACTTCTGGACTTGCATTTCCTTAATTTGACTCATGTAAGCATTGTCCAKGGTACATGTCCTAGCAGGATGAAGAAAGGTACTTAACCATCATGCCACAGCAGCCTAACTTCTGAAGAGTTCTATGGACTCTCATAAATCCAAGAACTCCCTTCTTCCCTTAGTGCTGAATCAAGACTTCCCCATAATTACAACTCCACATACAGCCCATCACATATTCACACACAGGACAGTCTCTTATCCCCAGAYAGCACACTACACTTCCTGAGGTGGTTGCTGGTGAGGGCTATGCACATAATTTCAAGTCACGCAATCCTGTCCAACCCTCGTGGTTAATTTATGGCACTTTTCTCGTTGATCATTAGTTCGTTTTCAACTTTCATTACAAGACATGTCTTTGACTTTGCAAGCAGCCCCCTCTGCTTCCTCTATCCTTYCAGTCTTTCTTCCTTTACTGAGACTCATTAATAGTTCCACAAAACAATGTGTTCAAAGAGAACTTGCGACCTGACCTGTACAGAAGCATCCAACATATTGATTCAGATATTTATTCCTGATCCCAGTCCAGACTTACTGAATCACATCCTTTGGAAGCAGAGATGGGAATCTATACCAGGTGTTTCTCAGGGATGCTGAAGATCAAGACTGACGGCTAACACACAACCTAGGAGGGGAAACGGCCCAGCTTCCTTGTGCTAGAGTCGCCTAGAGTTATATGAGACTGTCTCATAATTCCTCTCCATTGTTCTTCAAGGTCACTCAAAGGGCAATTCAGTTCATGGCCATTGTACTAATCCCTGGAGCTGTACTACAATCTTGTCAATTACCAGGCATCAAAGCTTTGTAAGCATTCTCTCCTGGATCCAGAGGCTGCCTCTCCTGCTTGCCTCCTCCACCAGGGCCTGGAAGCCCCCTTCCCCACCCCTCCTCCTGCCTGTATATCTCAGGTCCTGCCTGCACCTGCTCCAGCCTCTGGGCTCCCTGCCACCATGAGCCTTTTATGTATTTCCTTGCCATTTATTTGGGAAAACAAACAAACAGAAACTGTGGTCCTGAGAAGATTTTATTGGGTCTTACCATTACCAAGGCTTATCTGGTCGTGTAGGTTTGCAGACACAGGTGCCACTGAACTTCAGGGGCTTGGAATGTTCAGTTCATTGTCAAGTCCCAAAGGAGCTGTGCGACAAGAGGCCTTTTTCATTATGAACTTATTTGAATACTGAGATATTTTGCTCAGGTACTTTATTCTCCACTTTCACCACGCATATGCACACATGCGCGCACACACACATTATGTATATAATACATATGTATATAACACATCACATGCAAACCCATACACACTCACACAGACACACACACCAACTCACTAATGTTCTACTGACTCTTGTCCTAGAAACACTGCCACAGTGTAGGACCTTCTGAAACCCCAATGCAAGAAAGAAGAGAAGCCAGGCTGAAAGCACAGAGAGGACGACACCTCTGAGCCAGAGAGAAGGAAAAGTCTGGTCCAACAGACCCTCCCACCAGGGTCAGCTCAGCCAGCAGAGRGTCCTAGGATGAGATGCATCTGCCTTTGGAGATTTTCATGTAATTATGTCAGGATGAGGCAGGTCATAAAAATGAGCCATTGCGAAGCTGGCACTCAGAGAGGATGGGCGGGGCCATGGCAAACTGCCAACTGCCAGCTTGGACTGTCTGAGGTCACCCCCCCGGGGACCTCAGCCCTGGTGGCTGGRGGAAATGTGAGCTTGGTCTTGCCAGTCTGCTCAGTTTTCAAGAAAACCCAGAAGTCTCGATTTGTGTAGTGTGCATAAGTTGGCAAGACATTCAGAATGTTTTTTAAAAACACTCGGTGGGCCAAGCTAAATGCCCCTGTGGGCAGAGCGTGACCTTTGAGTTAGCTTGGCTATTTCGGTTGCACAAACACTGCGTCTAATGCGGCTGGGTCAGCGTGAGGGCAGGGTGGTTGGTGGAAGCATCATGATGTTCACAGGCACCGGCTGGGGTTTCCGCCCTGACCCCGCGGCTGGCTAGCTATGTGTCTGTGGGCACGTCGCTCAGGGGCTTAGGAAACCAACCTCGGCAGYCAGGAGGAAAAAGGGAATGCATCCGCCCAAGGGACCAGTGCTCTTAGTTTTGCTTTGTTTGACTGGCCTTTTCAGAAGTCATCTCAGTCCTGTCTGGGGTCCTAATCAGAGGAGGGACAGGTCTGGTTCCAGTCCTGGCCCCGGCCCCAGTCTGAGGCCAGGGAACAGTAAAGGCAGACATGGTCTTTGGAGCTGGCCAACCTAGGTGGGATCCTGCCTGTTACCTGGTACTAGCTAGTACTAGTAAATAAGTCCTAACAAGGGCTTAGGCAAGTTACCTAGCCTTTCCAGACTCAGTTTCCTGGAAATGACCAAGAGCACCACCTCTCTGGGAGGTTGGGTTGAGTCCCCACATCTGGGGATGAGTCACCCACAGCCACTGCACACCCCATCTCCACCGGGGTCAGCTCATCACAGCTGGCAGCAACTCCCCCCACTTCCCCACCCACGGGTCCAAGGAGACCATGGAACCTTCCAGACCTTGGCTGCAAACTGGATTCAAAAACACGGAGGATAACATAAGCCAAACATGGAGGTCCCCCTCAGATTCCATGTCATGGGCTGGGCACCCGCAGTTCCCTAGGTGCYTCTGCTGGCCCCAGGGAGCCACGGGTGCAGAGTCTCTGTGCAAGGCCAGGCCTGCCCCACTGCCTTCCTCCAGAGTCCCACACGGGGACGGAGCCTCAGTCTCACCTGCACTCACGGTCCCCACACTCACTCTCACCCACACTCACAGACTCACACACACTCTCACACCCCCGCACACATACAATACACTCACACACATTCACACTCCTGTTCAGAGTCCCACACACATGCACTGACATACACCTACACACACACCCATGCCCACATCACCCCCACACACAATCACACAAACACACTCACACTGCCCTCACACACACTCACACCCCTGATACACACATAGTCAAATGCACACTCACTTTCACACACACACACCCATACAACCCTGACACACTCACACCCTCATAACACACACCTACACATTCACACAGTCCCAGTCACATTTATACCCCCACACTCACACTAACTCACACATTGAAACACACTCACCCTCCCATAACACACACACCTACACACACAGAGTCAGAGTCACACACACACACACACACACACACACTTTACCTCCACACACTCACCCCCACAGACTCACACTTGCAATCTTCTTCCTGGAGGGGGCGGGCTCGGTCAGGGTGACTCAATGCAAAGCTGAACAATGCACTCCTGCCCGCTCCTATTGGCATGCTCTTCTTCCTTTCCCATTTCCTCTCCTCACCTGGTGGAAGGAAAGGGCTGTGGGGTCAGAGCCACCGGGCTGGAGTCCCAGTTCTCTCATTCACCAGCTTCCTGACCTTGAGCAAATGAATCACTTGGCCTCCTGGACCTTTCCTGTCTGCAAATGAAGAAAATAAAACTCTCTGATGAAGTCAYTGGGAGACCTGAATGAGGTCACACCCTGGGGGTACCTGGCACCAGGCCAGCTGGCCAGGACATATTGGAGTCCTGCCTCACTGCTYCTCCCCCATGGGTGACCACTCCCTGGAAAACAGCAGCCAGCAAGACTCAGGCGCACCAAACCCGCTTCTCGTTCTGGTCACCTTGGGGAGGGGACTGCGCCTCGTTGAGGTGGTCTTGCTGTAGTTACGGTGACAGTGATGATGTGCCTCCCTCTAGGAGACATAACTCCCACGGGCCCCACACTGGATAGAGGATGATGACTATGGACAGCCCTCCCTAGCAGAACYAGGGACAGGACAGAACCACAGGCAGGCTGCACATTCCTCCTCTGATGGGCTCCTGACTGCCTGGGGACTCTGTTCTCAGGCAGCAAATGGCATCAAGCATGACTTCTGGCCCCGCAGCCCACAAAACCCTCCCAGAAGTCCAGGCTTTCATGGCCAACTCCACGGCTACTCAGATGCCAACCCCGACACTCACATCAAGACTCAAATCGGCCTACCTCAAACCCTGCTCCTCCAAGGAGGACAGAGAGCACCTCGCCTCCCAGGGAGCATGCTCCTCACACCCCTCCACCAACAGGCGGGGCCCTTCTCATGGCCATGGCCCTCCCTGGTTCCAGTCACCACTCACTCCTGCCTCTTGCCAGGGCCGGGCGGGCCTCCCATGCTGCCCTTCACCCCTCTTCACTCTGTTCTCTGCTCGGTACCACACAGGTTCTTGTGAAGCATAATTCACGCCATTCATGAAAGTTACTTATCAAACACCTACTGCGTGTACAGCAGGGTTCTAGGCTGTAACTGCTCTGCATTCTCCCCTGGGCCTCCAAGGAAGCCGTCTCTGGCCTGATCTCCTACTCCCCACCCTCTTTCTTCCTGCACCCCAGTTTCCTCCCACCTGAGGTGTGAGCCCTTCCTTCCTGAAGCTCCTCCCCCAGCACCTGGGCTGACTCACACCTGCCCTCCTTTGGTCTGGGCAGAACCATCCTGCGCTCATTGAGGCCTCCCGGGCCCACCTGGTTTCCAGTTCAAAGCTGTTCCCCATCATCCCTCCGGCTGCACTTTTCCCTGGGTGGAGGGATACGGCACCTCAGCCCCTCCATATGTCAGCCCYGAAGAGGGAACTGGGTTTCCGTGTTCTGCTTGCCTGCGTGTCTGTCTGCTCTCTCAGCACACCACCCTCTGGACCAGGACCAGGCTGTGTGTCAATGCCACAGGGAGCCAGCCGCCCGGTCCCTCTGGGTCTGTACCCTCTCACCGCAGCGCTGGTCCCTTAGGGGTGCTAGCCGCAGCTAATGACCCCTCACTCCCCAGGTCCTCAGTCCTCTCCTGCCCCTGCTCTCCGGGTGTGCCCACCCTGGACAGCTCCCCGTGCTCTGGCACTGTGAGCCTGAGCTCGTCGGGTCCAGCAGAGCCCGGGCCACACAGGCAGCCCTGGCCCAGAGCCCTGTGCCTCCGGGGCCTGACCCGGCCGCTGGCTGTGTTTGCAGAGGTGGTCGGCGTGGGCTGCGTGCTGGACGGGGTGCGCTACCTCAACGGGGAGTCCTTCCAGCCCAACTGCAAGTACAACTGCACTTGCATCGACGGCGCGGTGGGCTGCACGCCCCTCTGCCTCAGCACTCGGCCCCCGCGCCTCTGGTGCCGCCGCCCGCGGCGGGTGAACTTGCAGGACCAGTGCTGCGAGCAGTGGGTGTGCGAGGACGACGCCAGGAGGCCACGCAAGACCACGCTGCGGGACACCAGCGCCTCCGGTAGGTGCAGCAGGGGCGAGACCTGGGGCAGCGGTCACAGACCCCTCTGCCTGTGAATGGCTCCAGGCGCCCACTGTCCAGTTCAGAACTCACTGTGTGTGTCTTGAGGAAGCCACTCCTCCCTGGGGCCATAGGTTCCCCCCTTGTAAAAATGGAAATTAAGATTTTTATGCTGAGATTCTCGCAATATAAAAAGAGGAAGCACTTTGTAAGCTTCGTAAAGAACAAAGTTTTTTCACAGGTAAACCCTTGTTATCCTACCTGAGTGCTGGGGGGCACTGGAGGCAGGGTGAGTGCCCTRGGAACGGAGGCCTGAGTGGCAGGTGTCAGGGCAGAGGCCTGGGCCTCCTGGAGGCTTCAAGGTGTCTTGAGGTCCCCAGCTCTGGAGGATGGGTGGGCAGKCTGAGCCAGGTAAGCCAGAAAAGAGGAGAGGGAGGCAGGGATGGGCCTGTGTGTTTTACCACTGTCTCCTGGAGCCTAGGCCAGGGCCAGGGTCCTGTGGGTGGGTGGCTAGTGAGGCTCTGAGCTGGGCCGTGGGAGTCAAGGCACGGAGGTCTTGATATGCATCACTGTGGGGGTGAGGGAGAGGGGGTAGAGGTGACTCCTGGGACTTGTCACTGCTGAGGAGAGAACAGCAGAGACTGGGCACCTCTGGTCGGAGAGCTCTGCCCGCCGTGAGGGGATGTGAGAGAGGCTGGGGCCAGCTGGGGGGGGGGGACAGAGAGCCCTCTCAGGGAACCCCCTGAGCTGCTGAGGGCAGGGCGGCAGGGCGGCAGGGCCCAAGGACACGACACAGAGAGACATAGAGGGCCTGGGGCAGAGGTCTGCGGAGGTTGAGCTTTGAGAGGTTCTCAGAAGAAGAGAGGAGGAGAAGAAAGAGAAAACCCGAGCACTTGGCGCCATGGGAGACAGGAGGGGATGCTGCTGGAGGACAGAGCCTCCTAAGCCAGGGGACAAGAAGCAGTGAAAACTGGAAGTGGGGTCAGGGGTTGCAAGCGTAGTGGGTACAAAGTAAAGCCCCTAAGTGCGTGAGAGTGTCCGTGTCTCAGCCCTGGAGGCCCTTGGGGCCGCAGAACTACTTCCTTAGGGTGGGGGCTGTGCAAGGGCGTAGGCTGTCCCCATGTCCTGGCCCCTGGATGTCCGTAGCCACCCCCACCCAGAAGTTGTGATCATCCAGAACATCCCAGGGTTGCCAACTGTGCCCTGGGGGACAGAGCTGCCCGGCTCAGGAGCGGGTCCCTGTGGGTGGGAGAGGCAGCAGGGAAAGCCTGGTCCTTAGCAGACCCAGGGTGTCAGAGCAGCTGTCCCACACAGCCCCCCTCAGCAGGGTCACAGAAGAGTCACWGGGCGGTGGAGGGGGGCAGAGGCTGTCCGCCAGTTGTGGTCTAGTGACCCCATTACAACAGCACAAACAGAGCCCCTGCAGCGCTTCGGAGGTGACCCAGAAACCAAAGCCCTTTTATCCTCTAGGCAAATCCTTTCTCACCACCCCCGAGATGCTGGCAGCCCCCCTCAGCCCAGCCCTGCCCTCTCTGTGAGCTTTCCCTCTGTTGACATCCCCGCCCCCACACTCGTTCCTGCGTCTTGGGGGGAGGGAGRCCTGCACCCAGGAGCTGGGGCCTGAGTGTAGGTGCAGCTTCCCTTCTTGATCCACTTCTCTCCTGCTTATCTTCCCCCCCCCAGCTTCCCCCCTCCATGCTTGTGTCCTGGGTCTCCCTCCTCTCCCCTCACTCTTTCTTTCTCTTCCTTTTTTCCTCCCCTCCTTCTCTCTCATCTGGGCCCTTCTGTCTGTCCTTCCATCCCTCTTTCTCCGCCTCTTCTGTTCTCTCTGGCCTCCTGTGCCTGGGTGTCCAGTGGGACCCTCTGCTGCGAGTCTGCCGCACCTTCCTGTGAGCAGCTCTCTGTCCTGCTGGCCTTTCTCTGCCTCTTTCTCTGGTTCGCTACCCTCCGCTCCTCGGATGACCACAGCACACCATGTGCAGAAGCTGGAGCGTCTGTGAGCACAGACCTGTCCCCGAGTTGGCATTCATGTGGGTGACAGCCAAGTGCCCACACATGCCCACGTGGATGGGGGCTACTAAGGGCCAGGGGCAGCTGGAGCATGCTTGTGTGTGTRACATTCCCTCCTCGACCCCAGCCCTGGGAGAGACAAGCTGTGGTTGACCCCATTTGTAGAGGCGGGGCTGGGCGCAGAGGTGTGAGGGAGCTGTGGGCAGCAGGGCCTGATGATCCCACGTCATTTATTGTCTTAGCCACCACACTCTCCACGTGACCTCAGTGAAACATCAGGTGCCCAGATATAGATCCTCACCTTTGAATTTCCCCAGAATCAACTTCATCATGCAGGGGTGGGGACAATGTCTTGCTAGCCTCTCATTCCCAGAATCTAGCAGGACACTAGGCATAGGTTCAGTCCAAACCTGCACCCCGTGGTCCTAGGAGCCCCTCAGGGCAGATATGGTTCCAATGTGGTGGATTGGAGGTGAAGGCCAAGTGAGTGTGGAAAGATCACCCAGCTTGGAAATGGTATAGAAGGATTTGAACTTGGGTCCACCTGTCTTAAAAGATAATTTTCCTTCCATGCACCCTCCTCCAATCAGAAAATTATAAGGAACTCAGAAAATGCCCCCCCTTCCCAGGTACCAGTGCTGATCAGAAACCAACTTGCCCTCCTGGGAGAGGGACAACCCAGTTCTCTCTCTCTCTCTCTCTCTCTCTCTGAGTTTTGGGGACCCCACACCTCCCTCCTGTGGAGGTGGAGAGGGCTGGGGCTGGGGGAGGCTGCAGACTCACGGGCACTCTGGTCTCTCTGCAGAGGCTGCAGGTGAAGTGGAGCCCTGGCATGGGAACTGCATAGCCTACACAAGCCCCTGGAGCCCCTGCTCCACCACCTGTGGCCTGGGGGTGTCCACGCGGATCTCCAACATCAACCCCCGGTGCTGGCCCGAGCAGGAGAGTCGCCTCTGCAACCTGCGGCCGTGTGACGTGGACATCCGTCTGCACATCAAGGTGGGTCCAGAGCAGGGGCAGGCGTTTTGAACAACAGACGAAGCTGGCCTTGAGCTGGCTACTGGGCTTCCTCATGGGGCCACTTGTAGGATGGGAATAATGAAGCCCACCCAGTGGGCCTGGGGCAATGTTATTTAGGATGATCTGGACATGGAGACAGGGCAAGGTCACTGGGAGGAGTTCAGGGACACTCCACAATGCTCCTGTAATGATTTCGAGAGACCCCGTGGGCTCACCTCCTCCCTCTGCTCCTGCWAGCCCAAGCCCACCCACATGGGCACACAGGACAGTGTGTGGTGACAGGAGGGGCACTGTACAGGGCCCRGGACACTGGAAAACACCTCTCTGCTGTTAGTTCCCAGGGCTGGGACTCATCCTTGCGTCTCTGGGCCTCWGCCCCCCTTCATCATAATGGAGCTGGTTTCTAAGATAACAGGAATGGAGCATCAAGGATCTAGGGGGCCACAGGACTCTGAGCCCCTTCCCAGAACTRGACATGGATCTTACCTGCCTCCTTCAACACCCCTCACTCACGTCTCAGGCCTGGGGTCACATTAGAAGCAAAGAAAGCTCCATTTCAGGAGTACAGAGGTTTCTTGGGGATGCGGAAGAGACGTAGGTCCTGTAGATGCCTCCTGGCTTCCCACCACCCTCATCTGACTTCTGACATTGCTCCTGTGCATAGGACAGCTCCCAGGTCATCTCCTGGGGGTCAGCTGGAGGCAACCCTCCTCTTCTTCTCCCCTCCTCTTGGTCTTCTTCTTCATCCTCTGAGCATCTTCTCTGTTGGGCTGCACTTGTGTCCTCTGTGCTTGGTGCAGAGCAGGGACTCAGTGGACGTCTCTAAATGGGACACCTGGACGGAAGTGCCTGCAGCAGGAGAGTGGGGCAAGGCAGCTCTACAGAAGCTAAGGCCAGGCCCTCGCTGGAGGCAGGAGACTCCTTCCCAGTTTTGTCTGCATGATTGGGTGCCCTGAGTGGGTTCCCCAAATTGCATGAGCTCCACATACCCTGGGGATTAACTTAATAAGTKCCGACTATGTCTAGGCATGGAATTATCCCATAGAGACATAATAGAGCCCTAAATCTCAAGTGGCCCAGAGCCCAATGGAAGGATGGAGTTCCTTTTAGACAAATGTCAGTCCAATTTGATATGGTAAGTGTGCATGGTAAGTGTGCCAGAGGCTGTGGATGGCAGGAGGGGAGATTAAGGTAAGGCAAGCCTCTGACCACGGGGTCTGCATTCTAGCACTGCACCTGGCTAGCTGGGAACTGGGTTCACTGAGAGAGCTGCCAGAGCTTCCTGTGCTGGTGAAACTGTGTGAAAGGACATTGGCAGGGCTAAACTGCAGACAGAAGGGAGATTGCAGGCTGTAGAATATAGTCCAGCAGGGCAGTCAGTCCCTCCTGTGATCCAACTGGGCATCCCCTGAGCATCCCCTGCTGAAAGATCCCTTCCTTTCCTTCAGGCAGGGAAGAAGTGTCTGGCCGTGTACCAGCCAGAGACGCCCATGAACTTCACCCTCGCAGGCTGCGTCAGCACACACTCCTACCGACCCAAGTACTGTGGGGTCTGCATGGACAACAGGTGCTGCATCCCCTACAAGTCCAAGACCATTGATGTCTCTTTCCAGTGTCCAGAGGGGCCTGGCTTCTCCCGCCAGGTCCTGTGGATCAACGCCTGCTTCTGCAACCTCAGCTGCAGGAATCCTAATGATATCTTTGCTGACTTGGAATCCTACCCTGACTTCTCAGAAATCGCCAATTAGGTGTGCACATCATGGAACTGGGGGTCTGGCTCAGTGATGGCAAAGCAGCTGGCCTCTCTGGGGCCAAGAACTTCACAACTGAGCCATCAGATTTTGTCTATTTCTCCCTCACTTCTAATTACCCTGATCTGGATTCTTCTTGTCTTCGACTACCCAAATGACCCATGATGGTGCTGCTCAGGTCCACACAATGGGTCCCTTCCTTGGTGACATTCAGCATCACTCCAAAGAAAATACTTATCTCTAGCTGTTCTGGACAAGCCCCAAGCCTGATCCAGCCTGCCCAAGTCATCAAACATCCTTGTGCATCTTGCCCAGTCAGCTGGACATCCACTATCACAAGTTCCCCTTTTGAATGCTAAACTGGGGGACCCTTTAGTCCYTTCAGAATGAAGCACAAAATTGGGGACACTAGAAAAACTGTTACTTGGATATGCCAAAGGGACTCTTACAGGCAGCTGTGTTCATAACACCTTAAAAGTAGCTCTGCTTCCTAAGATTTGTGCACCACATAGTCCACAAACCTTGGTCAGGTGAGGCTAATGGTTGTTTGATTATTAATGGAAAACTGTATTCATGAACCTGGGCATTGTCAAGGTTAAATATCTCCTCACTGCTGCACTGTCAGGGTCTCAGCTGGGTTCATCCCAGTCGGAAATTCAATTTCATGAACATCATTTTTGTTCATGAGAAAAATCTCCGGTCACTACCCCAGAGACAGGGCAAGGGTCAGCCAATTTTAGAGGCAGCAACTGACCCAAGCACCACATCTGCTGCTGACCAACCCATCTGTGGGCATCTGGCCAGGCACCTCCTTGCAACATGACCCTCTCTCTGCTCAGGGCTCAGGGGAGTTGGTGGAGTGCTGGAGAGTGGTGTTCTGGAACATTCCTTCACTTTTACAGAACCTCAGCAGAATCCTCTGAAGTCCACCAGACCACACCTACCAGGCCAGGTAAGGGTCAAGCCACAAAGTGGCTCCRCCCTTCATTAGCCTGGCATGGTCTGGGGGACTGGAGATTATAAAGACCACAGAGTCCCTGGGCCCAGGACATATCTTTTCTACTTCAGTAACCTACTTCACAGCCCCTGGGTCTGCGGATCAAAATAACTCAGTTTTCTGGTGTGAAGTCAGAGGTTGACCAGTTGTTTCAAAGTGGAATGATATTTAATAACATTATSCTTTGGTTAATAGCCAAAAGGAGCTAAAGCTAAAGGAAGAGAAGGTTGGTATAAATATAAATGAGACTATTATTTATTTTATTAGTAGCATATAATACTGTCATCTTTCTTTCTCTGTGTGTTAGACATTGTTCTCAGTGCTTTACATACACTTTCTCATAAATTTTCATGATAATGATGAAAAATCCTATTATTATTGCTGTTCTTACAAATGTGAAATGGAAGCCTCTGGGGTTAAGGAGACATGACCAAAGAAACTCAGCCGTAAGTGAGGGAATTGTAATTCATATCCAAGGTGGAGTACTTCTCAGTCCACATTCCCCCCTGCTGCCAGAGTTTCCCAAAGTGTCAGAATAAGATACCTTAGTGACATAAGTGACTTCTCTCAATTTTGCTCTTCACCCTGTCTTTCTAGCTTCTTTCCAGAAAGAAGAGAGTATCTGATGTTCTGGTATTTTGGTATTTAAGCATCCAACAATATGTAGGATAAACAGAAATCTGTGCATCCCTATGGGTCACCCCCTCCTCCAAACCTGGACCAGCTCATATCAAATCTCCTTACAGTGACCTCCCAAAGGCCTAGCCCAGTGCAAGGCATACAGTGGTGCTCAATATGTATTTGATGAAGCAAATAAATTTGTACATGTTTCTACTTTTATTTAAAAGCTCTCTTCTTTCAATTGTGTGAAAATCTGATTCTTATCAGTGATGATTTTACATTGAATGCCATAGTAGATGACATCTAATATTTCAAAGAAAAGCATATTCATATATGTACAAGAATTCTCCTAGGGAATTTACCCACGAATCATTTCTTCTGTCAATTTGTGTGGATCGTGTTGGATTTTCTTAGAGTGGAGTCATCTGCCACCTACAATCTTGAAGGCCATGTAACTGCTAAGTGTATATGAAATTTAGTAGCGACCTAAGAGCCAGGTGTTTACTAAATTTGCACCTTGATTTGGGAGCTGAGCATGACTCTTCCCAGATTGTAGGAAATCTGGTTGAAGGAACTGGGGGTTATCCTAGGAACAGGTGGGATGGGATGACCAGAGTGACTCAGTCAGGATTGATTTTGAGACATGAGACGGGCGTGAGCAGGACCTAGTGGTCACAGTATAGAGGAGATCCGGACCCGACGGAATGAAGCTCTTTCTAACAGGATTATGCTTGGGGATGTGGCCTTATTCAACAAAAGTTAAGAAAAATAATTAACTTCTTTTCCCCAGAGGGAACAGCCTCAAAGGGGCTGGAGGTTGGGGTCCAGACCCTCCCTTGTTCCTGCTCTGGGAGGCTTCCATCTGAGGCCTGATGACTCCGAGGAGACTCACACTGCAGGGGTCCAGACAGACAAGACTGCCCCTCCAGTCCCTTGGAAAGAAACACTATGGACTATTTGACCTTGAGTGCGGTGGCACATGCCTGTAATCCCTGCTACTTGGAGGCTGAGGCAGGAAGGTCTCAAGTTTGAGGCCAGCCTGGGCAAATGTACAAGACCCTGTCTCAAAATAGAATAATAAAAGGGCTGGGTGTGTTGCTCAGTGGCAGAGCCTGTTTAGAATGCACAAAGCCCTGGGTTCAATCCCCAACAGAAGAAACAAGAAATTAACTCACATTGGTAGATCAGCCTTCTCTGCTGTGCTTAGTTGTTGGAGAGGGAGAGAGACCTGACTTGACCAAACTACTGATTCTTGCTAAACCTTATGACAGGTGTTTGCTGAGCCCTCCACACGTTGGAGGTCTGATGCTAGGAGCTTTACTGCCATATCTCATTTAATTTCCAAGTGAACCTAGGAACTGTGGGATTAGCAAGGCTTTGTTGTAGAGAGAAGACAGCTGAGTCTCATTGACTTAAGTRATTTGCTTAAGCTCTTATCAGCCAGTGAAGCGCAGACCAAACCCAGAGCCACCTGACATCTGAGACATCTCTTCAGGCACTAAGCCTCCTTATCCTGCCCCCAAAGCAAAGGCATGACCTATACAAGAGGAGTTTGCTTGAGGATAGCTGCAATTTTAATTGTGATTCAGAGAGTGGTCCAGGAAAGCAGAGTCAAATGCTATGATTGTCTACCATCTCACTGATCTTGTACTGTGTATCCTCAGAGACTGTGGGGAAGTGACACAGCCTGTGACAATTATGTTGAATGGTGCAACTGCTTTTCAGAGTCTTGTTCTGATGCAAAGTGATCACAGTGACATCTCTGCAAGGCTGGAATCATGAGTGGCCATAATGATTAATGCATTACTGTATGTGTGTGTGTGTGTCTATTTTCAAATTATGATTTAATATTTAAATACTCCTACTGCCATTTTTGTAAGTGACTAAAAGACACATATGAAGAAATCTTAGGATTTAGCAACAGGGTTGGGCAATCTGCCTTGTCTCATGATAGTCCTCCTTTTTCTCATGATTTATGTAGCATGGAACATATTTGTTCAACATGAAGGGTTTTCATTGCTCAAAGTCATTGTTTACAGCTTTTCTTGTTAAAGCAATAAATCACCAGTAAAGTAACGTACCGGATTTGGTGGAATTTCTTGGAATACCTTGGAATTTCATTAGGAGGCACCAGTGGAGCACTGAGCATATTAAACCAATGTGTAGAGGGTGGAAATTAGGTCCCAGATATTTTATCTGGAAATAAAAATAGCTTAAAAGTTTGGAGATGATGGAGTTAGAAACCAATTCTGGAATTCAAAGAAGAACAGGACCACCAATGCCTCTAGGCTAAAAGAGACCTCGGAAATACAAAATGGAATTTTTAGCATTCATTTCGTCATTCATTTTACTTTCTCATTTATTCAGTTTCTTTCTATATCCCCAAGTAGAGCAGGAGCCCCTGAGGTCAGGGAAATGACTGCTTGCCACAGTGTCTGGTTCATGTCAGGGACCCAGTAAGCAGGGCTGGGGTGGATGGCCAGAGGGTCTGTTTCCAGCTGGGAGCCCRGAGAAGACCAAGGGAGGCTGCATGGAGCATGGAACCCGTCCTGACTGTGGGCCTCCSGGGATCCAAACCTGCTCTAGTCCTTGTTAGAATTCCTCATTTACCTGAGCTGCGGCTTCCTCAACAGTGACAGGACAGAATGACGTGTCTAATTCTTGACAGTATGCACATTGCAGGTATGATTTTAAAACAGAACTTAGAACATGGTAAGAATTTAATCGACACTTCTATTATGAGCTGAGTCTCAGATTCATCATAAACAGGGTAATTGACCACCAAGGTACAGTAAGAATTAGTCTCCATGTGTGTGTCTACACATTTAACTCAGTTACCTCTTGCTTAAAAGAGTAAACAGGGCCAGGCATGGTGGCACACGCCTGTAATCCCAGCGGCTTGAGAGGCTGAGGCAGGAGGATCACAAGTTCAAAGCCAGCTTCAGCAAAAGCAAGGGCTAAGCAACTCCGTGAGACCCTGTCTCTAAATAAAATAGAGCACAGGGCTGGGATGAGTGCCCCTGAACTCAATCCCCAGTAATAATAATAATAATAATAATRATAATAATAATAATAATAATAGAAAGGGGAAGTGGCCCCTGCATTCATTTGAACGCTCTTCTCCTTCCCTCATAGGCTGCTTGATCATTCAGTGCTGTGTTTTGTGCTCAAACTTCATTCACAGCCCAGCTCCCTCAGGGCAGGAAGGACCGTGTCCTTCTCTCCTCTCTCTTCCACGTCCAGCACAGCCAGCATACGCTCGGCTATGTGAGCAGAGGCCCTCACCCACAACCCCCAAAACACGATGATGTCACAATAAAAGTCAAGGGGAGACTAGATAAAAAAAAAAAAAAGGTCACATGAATTGTTTCCAAGACCTTCTATCCTAAAGCACACCTGTTTTTCAAAATCAGAAGATGGATGGTTGGAGTCCTTTTGGGGAGAGATCCCCCAAGCATAGGTAGTTGAAGTTTTGGGGAAATGGAATTTGGAAGAAATGACCTAAGTATTTTTATTATGAAGCAATTTATCCTAAGCAGTACATAGTGGCTGCAGGGAGTGGTGGCACATACCTATAGTCCCCACTAAGGAGTCTGAGAGGAGGATCCCTTGAGCCCAGGGGTTTGAGGCCAGCCTGGGCAGCACAGCAAGACCTCATCTCCAAACAATAAAAATACACAGCAGAGATGCCAGCATTCTGCATCCCCACTCCCACCCCATGGGCAAAATAAAAACGCAAAGACTTCCTCTGTATTCAGAAACCCAAGTTCTGGCTGAATCCGGTTCTTTCAAAATGCAGGACTGAGCAAAACTGGCTTCTGAGCTGAAGGAGCTGGCAGGGACCAGGGCCCCAGGCCCCATCCTCTGATCCGTCCCAACAGCTCCAAGCTCTGCTCTGAGCCTCGTTACACGTGGATTTTGCACGATACTGACAGTGTGTATTTCTTAGTCCATTTCACAAAGAGAGAGAAAGGCTTCCTGATAATCTTGAGAAGACAAGGAGACAAATTGAGAACCAGATAAAAACATAAAGGTGAGTGGCCCGAGTTGGAGGTGACTGTTCCTTGGGGGACAGAACACATGGCTGGCCTGATCACCTTATGTCCCGGGAACCACCTGATGTTTACAGTCCCTAGGTGTCAGTGGGAGGTTGCCTGGTCATGAGGGTGCTCAGCCGCTGTTCTAACAGGCGGCGAGGGACAGGGCCCATTTTAGCAAAGACCCAACAAGTTGTTTACTGTTGCTGAGCTTTGGTTCTCTCCTCTGTGGAGCCAGGAGAACTCCTTACAGACAAGAATGAAATGGAGAAAAGCTGAGACTTTCTGACCAGAGGAAGCACATATCTGCTTATTTACTGGGCTGGCCCTGAAAATCCAAAAGTAGGAGGTCACTAGTTTGGGGGAAGGATGCACACAGTGCCAGGCATTGCGGGAGCTGCATGCTCTACCCCTGCCAGGAGGCCCTGCTCCCTTCCACGTGGGGGTGGGGCCGGGCACCCGGGAAGGGCTCCCTAGGAGTGGGAAAGGTGTGATCTCCGTCAGGGCACGTGCTGTCAGTGGATGTGATTGTGCGGAACGGACATAACAGTTCACCTGTCACAGCGACACGGATGCCTCTGGACCCCTGCTGCATGGGGTGGGGGGGCAGCGTGAGCCCCAGTCATGGGTGAGTGACACTTGAGTCAAGCTGGGCCAATAATTTCCTCCCCTAAGAGGCACAAAGAGCCGACTGGTTTCAGTTCCAGAGCTAAATGGTCAGGCTAGCTGGCCCAAGGGCTACGGTTCCATGCTTCAGTGTCATGAGCAATAAACACGAGGAAGGCATGTCCCTTGACATGAAGTGACAAAGGGGGCGTTTCACCTCTGTGGCCCTCCCCTGGAGAAGAACCCTACACAAACCACAGCCCAGGGAACTCCTACTAAACCCCTGGTCAGTGCTGCCCAGGAAAGTCAACAGGCCAGGAAAGTCCAAGAGACTGGCCAGCCAGAGGGGCAAGAAGACAYGAGGCTAGATGTCAAGGGCGTCCTGGAAGGGACCCCGAGTTGTGTTTGGAGGTGAGGAGTCCCCAGAAGCTCCTGGTGAGGCCATGCGGGAAGGTTGGGAGGAGAAACGATTGGGTTCTGAGAGCCTTAACTGAAGGTGGGTGGGCTGTGGCTGGAGGAGGGCAGGGGATGTGACTGTGGGGTATATTTTGTACCTGGCGACTCTCTCTCTCTGCCTCCTGATCATCAGGTGAGCTGCTGAGCTCGGCCACACTCTTCTGCCATGGTGTTCTGCCACCTGGAGCCCGAGGAATGGAGCCAGCTGTATATGGACTAAGACCTGAAACTCTGAGCCTTCAATAAACTTCCCTCCTCTACAGCTGTGCTGTTGGGTYCTTTAGTCACAGCAGCAAAAAGGCTGACTAACACCCTGGGATAGGAAGGGCAGTGACGCCCCCGAGTCTCAGCTTAGTGAGCAGCAGTGTCCGCTGCCGGCATCGGCTGTGACAATGGTWCCACAGTGACACATGGATGACAGGGACATGAAGGGCCTGGCATGTGTCGGGATGCTCTGTACACTTGTTGCAACTGTCTTAAATCGATCTTAGATTAAAAGTTTAGATATAATAGAAAGTTACAKTAAAACCTGTCTGTATTTTTTTCTAAATGTACAGTAAAAAGCGAGCTCTCGAGTCGTCGGCTTTGCTCATGGGTGGACTTCGCACATATTTTAAAAAAGACGTTTCCCTCTGACGTTAGATTGAAAAGCTCTACCTTCTCCATGCCCTGTTCACCAACTGCTGGGCATCGGAAATGTGGTAGGTGTGCCTGAAATAGGCCTTGAGGGAGAACTACATCCTGGAGTCTCAGAATGGGCAAGAAATGCTCAAGGTCTGGTTATTCCTTTTATAAAAACGGCCATATTTGGATAGATTGGGCTATATGGGGTGCATTGTTAAAATCAGTCTCCCTGTCTCTTCCTACTCTTTGAATGTGGCTACTAGAAATCTGAAGTGACGTCTGTGGCTGATAGTCCTGCTTCTCCTGGACTGGGATGCTTTAAAGCAAAGGTCCCAGGGGCGAATGAGAGAGGCAGGGCCCTGGGTATCAAGATTGCAATCCCTTCACCGGAAGACTCATCCCCACGCTTGATGTCACACACGACCTCTCGGGGAGAGGAAAGGGACACAAGCCACTGCAAAGTTACAAATTTATTGGTCTGGAAATAAATACAAATATCTCATTAAGAAAGTCCTCTGGAAAGACTTGGACAATAGTTTCTGGTCTGCATTCCGCCACTCTGGCCTGGATCCCTGCACGAGGTCAGGGAAGCCTCCGCGTGGCCAGGTGGCAGGTAAACTGAGTCACTGCCTCTCAAGCACCTTGATGGCAGGACTACTTCCTTCTGCCAGCCCGAGGGACCTGGACATCACCAAGGCCCGGCGGCTGATTCTCAATATTCGATTCACTCTGATCAAACTTCCTATAAGAAAATCCACGGTTAGCCAAAATGAAAATCAAAAGGCAGTAGTTCAGGAACTGGACAGCTGTGCTGACGCTGCTCAGGAGAGTCGGTGGCACTGCCCCATTCAGCAGAAGGAGGTTACAGGGGCGGGGAGAGGGGTGGCAGCAGACGCAAGGAAACTCCCGTGGAATGTGTATTCCAGAACCCTCRGTTTTCCCAGCCCACTCCCCACATGAAATCCCATCCCCAACAAGAGCAAAGAGTTCATCTGGAGACCAGTCATGACCCTSGGTCAGAGACATCCAGCTTTCAAGTTCGGATCAACCCCCGAAGTCAACGATTGGAGGCTGGACTTAATCACAGATTCCTGGGAAACAGCCTGGGATCCACAGAAATCACCAGGGCACTGGATCCCAGCACAACCACCAGAATCCCTTAACTTCTAGTCACCGGGGCCCCTCCCGCCCCCCTCCCCACCCTGGAGACCCATCAYGGCCAGGGACAGCTGACCGAACGTCTCCCTCCACTCCAGAGCATGAGCTACAAATCTAAGATGTTCCCCGTGAACAAAAAGAATCACCAGTCACCTAGGTGGGTGGGAGGCAGGGGCTGCCGGGGAGGCAGACGGCAGGGCTAAAGCCTCTGCCTCCGACATGTGCCAAGGAGCACTCACCCCAAGCTGATCTATAAATACAGCGGGGTCTGTGGCCGGCTTTCCTGGTATGTTAAAAGGAGACCAGGGCAACAGGCTCCCGTGCCTCAAAAGCTTATATCTGCACCGACAGTAAAAGCTGACCTCTTCAAGTGAATGACATGGACTTATTTTTCTTAATGTTCAGCCTCCACCTAAATTCCACCTCTTTTTCTACCTTCCTGTTTTGCCTATGTAAAAGAAGTAGCCACACTCCACCTCGTCAGAAATGGGTGGCTTCTAGGACTTGGGCCAGTCTCTCTGCAGTTGGAGAGGAAGCAGGAAGTWGGTGGGCTGGGGACACACCAGGTGGTGGAACCTGGAAGCCACTCAGCTGCTCAGCCCGAGCTGGATTGCAAAGTGTTTGCTGCTGGTTTTTGTTTTGGGCAGCTGGGTGTCTCTGAGGGCGGGTTAAAGAGTGGCAGCCAGGCCACTAGTTAATGAAGACAGGACACAAAGATGCCTCCTTCTGTAGGTCCCCCACTGCCCACCCTTATCAAAGAGGCACCCTAGAGAGACCCAACCTGTCGTCACCAGAGCTCACTCTTACAAAATAAGCTTTGGATTAATACCAAGTTAGTGCAGGGTGCAGGCAGAGGCGGGAAGGGCTGGAGGGGAGCCGCTACGGAGACCAGAGTCCAGGGCGCGGGCGCGGCCGCCTAGCAGGACACCTCCATGGACTTGGGGCCCGCGCTGTTCCCAGGGGCACCCGAGTTGGGGGTGATGTCCAGGTGGGCTCCTTCGCTGGTGTGGGAGYGGCTGCGGGCGCCCTCGCTGGTGTGGGAGCGGCTGCGGGTGCCCTCGCTGGTGTGGGAGCGGCTGCGGGTGCCCTCCAGGGAGGTGACGCTGGAGCCGGATGCGGTGCGGGACCTCATCAGACGGGTCATGCTGGCAGAGGGCACTGGGAAGACAGAAGACAGCAGGTTAGGAGACGGAGACCTCTACAGCGGGACCAGATGGACCCCTGTGGATCAGCCTGGCTGAGTCCTCTTCCCGTCCCATCTTAATCCTCTGGGCTGTCCAGACACTGGCACCTGATGTCTCTGTGTCCATCAGAGGGGGACAGTGAGGTCCAGATGGAAAAGGACTTGCAGCCATCACATGGCGAGGGAGCTGAACCCAGGTGTCAGCTGAATCCCCATTCTGCACTTGCTCAGCGGTGTTGTGACCTGGGAGTGTCCCATTCTGAGCCTCCCTGTCCCCATTTCTAAGGTGGTCCCTCCGTGTCAGCAGTCAGGAGGGTGGACACAGAGGCCAAAGGTAATCCCTGCACCTCAGTGAGGGACAAGGTTACACAGCAAGGTCTGGGCAGAGCTGCTGGCTGTCTGTCTGCTCTCAAAGGCTGCAAGCTTCCAGGGACAAGCGATGGCACTGCCCACTCTCTGAGAGCTTCTCCAAGACTTCAAACGCCCTCGTCCACAGCAGGTGGCTGACAGGGTRGAAAGACATCAGAACAACCCTCCCCACCTGTATGGGCCCACGGAGCATTGTCCCCAATGCATGTCCGCTTGGAACCTCAGAATGTGACCTTACTGGAAATAAGATCTTTGCAGAGATAATTAGCTAAAAATGAGTCCTTCTAGATTAGAATGACCCCTAACCCGGTGGTTGGTGTCCCTACTAAAAAAAAAAACAAAACAGACAGAAGCAAGGGACAGGGCCAGAGTAGATGGAGCTGGAGACTGGGTGGTAGTGCTCACGCCACAGGAGGCCCAGGGGCTGGGCTAGGCAGAGGCAAGGACGGGTTTTTCCCGAAGTCTTTGGAGGGAGCCTGGCCCTGCCAGTACTTCAGCCTTAGACTTTTCACCTCTCAAACTGGAAGAGAATACTTTTGTGTGGTTTTAAAACCTCGATTTGTGGGGGCAGCCCTGTGAAACTCACACCCCATCCAATGGAAACTGCATGGTTGAGGTCGCGTGTGGACAGCGGAGGCCAGCAGCTATGAATGTGTGTGTGGAGGGGGGCACCTTCATTTCATGGGCATGCGGGCTGGCTCTCTATGGCAGACACACACAGAATTCAACCTTGCTGTACTGAATTCCCTCCTCAAAGAGTGAGTTTTGAATCCGGAAGGGATCGGAGTTAACCCCCGACCCRTGGCTCCCATGTTTTCCCTGAATCTACTTCTCCACCCCAAATCCGGAAGGCTAGCTGACCCCCCGGGGCTATGGCACCATCCAGTGATGCGGGTTTGCCAAGGTTAGTGCTGCTGGCCCACCACACTAGGCTCTCAGTGAAAGGTGGCTTTCTTCCTCTTGGCCAGAGCCTGGGATTGTAGCTCTTCCTCCTGTTTTCTCCAAGACCCGCAGGGTGCTTTGGCCGGGAGAAGCTGAACTTGGGGATAAAGCTGGAGTAGAAGCTGGCTTGGGGGAAATAGAAACAAAACCTTCCTTTCTCCCTGGAATACATGTTCAAAACAGAAATCCAAGCCCCATGGCAGGTTCCAGGCAAGCCAGCCTGGTTCACATCACTTCCTGCAAAGTCAAGGGAGCCGAGGGGCAGGTGGGCAGGACAGGAGGAGGTTCTGTTGGAAGAGGGCATCCCAGGACATGAGTCCTGCCCCATGCATGCAAATCAGGCTCCCTCCTCTCCACCGAGCTGGAAACCAACCGTGGCCTAGACCCATCTGGAGACCACACTGGTTTACCAATATACTATTTTACTCTTTTAAAAGGAAGAACAGTGTAAGGAAAAAACAAAAGATTGAAATTTCAAGATCTTCCTGGTTAGGAAGAGCACATGAATTGTAATTCCAAGCCATAGGCAAGAAAAAGAGGGAGGACCCTGTTGACGTGCCCACTAGTACTGACCATCTCTGCTGCTGAGCTGGAGAGTTTAAACCGGCCATTGTAAGTCCTGGTCAAGGCCTGGCATTTCTAAAAAAGGGCCCTATGTGTCTGACTAACAAACTGTAGCCATAAAGCAAGAAGGAGCGAGACCTTGAMTTAAGCTTCCATGTGTCTTTCCTTTCCCAAATCTAATGATTAGGCAAAGACATTCCATCTCGGCTCTAAGCAACTTCATCACCCACATAGACAGTATTGGTTTACAAAGGGCGCCCTGCCACTGCTTGCTTAATCTCTCCAAGCCTCAGTCTGTGCACTTATAAACGGAGGTCAAGAATCCCTTGTAGGATTACCGTGATGCTTAAATGAGAAAAATAAAGGCTATATTCATCTTTCTCACTACCACTACCACCAGTTCTCCACCTTCATCCTCATCACCACAATGGGTAGACTCTTAGGCAAGTACGTAATCAAAATGCAAAAGATGTTCATCACTTTGCTCTTCATCATGTTCTTGGTGTTTACAGGCACAACCCTCATCTAACCCTAAAATATCCCTATGAAAGAACTGCCACCTTTTCAACAAGCCACTTGTAGTCACAGGCTGCATAATGACGTTCTGATCAACTAAGGCCACCCATGGATGGACACAATGGTGGTCCCTTAAGATTATGTGCTTAGTGATGTCATAGCCCTCTTGCTTTGGATAAGYAGCTGTCTGATGTTTGCCCAGTGACAAATCTGACCACGATGCATTTCTCAGGACGCCTCCTGCCATTCAGCCATGCGTGACTGTAAATATGTCTTTCTCTGCCCTGCCCAGTGTTCAAAGAGCTGAAGCCGGACAAGGTGATACAGAAGTCTCATCCAAACCTGGCCAGCGCCCAGCCTCTCCCCTCCCACCCCTGCCCCTGCCCCTCCACGCCGGGGACGCCACACTCACTGTATCCCATGCCCTGCACRAAGTACTTGAAGGCCTCGGCGAGCTTGGCTGGCTGTGAGAGAGAAGAGACAGAGCAGTCAGTGGCTGGAGGGACAGGTCGCGAATGGCCACCTGCCTGCGGTCACCTTCATGCAGGAGCCCGGCCTCAGCCACCRTGTGTTCAGGGGACAAACCACAGAAGTAAAGGAAAAACTGGGGGATAATTGCGGGGCCCAAATTAGCTCTGGCCAGCAAAGAGCACTTCCAGTTCTTTTCCTAGTTGAGTTAYATGACCTGTCTGGCCAGCTTCTTCTATAAAGTGTGGGTGGCATGCCCACCTACGGCCTCTGTGGGACCACACTGGACAGTGCTGTGCCCAGCATCAGGACTGAGCTGCAGCAGCGTCCCATGACTCACTGTGCCCGGGGACCTGTGGCATCAGCTCACTTACTCTGACATCTCAGGAGGGTAGTGCTACTGTAGGACGTGTCCCAAGCCACAACTAGTACAAGGTGGGTCCTGCAGATGGACCCTGAGGTCTCCAACCCCAGAACCCATGTCCTCAAGGCAGCTCACRGTCAGTAGCAGGAGGGAAGGATGGATGGAGGATGGGCTGAGGAATAGTGGATAGATGGGTAAAAAAATGGATGGACGGGAGGAAGGAAGGATGGACAGACTATGGATGGAGGGTGGATAAAAGCAAAACAGGACTGATGGAAGAAAGGAAGGAGGAGAGAGAGATGGACGATAAAAATGAAAACAAGAAAGGGTGGAAAGAGCTGGCTGCACCGTGGCTGGGTGGACATCTGAACTGGGATGGGAAGGGAAGGCTGAGGCCGAGCTGGGTTCTCAGCTCCTCAGGTGCCTGGTTCTGACGTAGGAGGTGAACGCTCTAGGTCAGGGGAGGTGCGCAGGCTCCAGCCAACCCGACCCTGAGACCCTGCCTGCATCTGCTCCTCCTCTTTCCTCTGCATCAGTGACAGGTCCCTGCCCCAGTCCCCACACCTCCACCAGCTCCTGTCGCCAACCTWCAAAGACCCAAATGACATTGGGCTACGCAAAAATTGCCCTCTGGGAYTTGAGTGACAATGGGAAAAGGGGCAGTTGTATTAGGGTAGCACACAGGGGACCTCTGTGTCTAAGACGGGAAATTTGCACACATGCGCCATTTGGTGTCCAGTCCTCTGTCCCTCTGCTCTGGGCTTGGGCTCCCTGGGAAGCCTGCGATCTCTGGGACAGGCACACGGATTCTGACCCACGACCACCAGGCTGTGGGCCCCTGGCACGCCCGCACCCGTGAGCCCCCGCAGCCTCACTCCTCAGGGCTTGCAGGGGAATCAGGGAGACCTCRAGCATAAATAAGCATGTGACAGACAGACAATAACACGGCCATAGACCGGCACCCAGCGGCATAGTAGGTAGTGAGGGACCAGGGTTAACAGGGTCACCCAGGGAAGTGACCTCGGCCAGGGAGTGGTGACCTTCAACACAAACCAGGTGGGACTCACCTGGGAGATCTGCGGGAGGCCGCCACAGTCCGCCATCTGGAAGGGAGAGAAGCTGGTTAGTGCCCATACCTCACCCAGGCAACCTGTGCTCTGTGAGCCAGAGCCACACAGGCACCCAGTGCCCACTGTCCACAGGGGTGACTAGGGGTGGCAYGCCCCACGACCCACCAGGCAGGACTGCTGCCCACCCAGGCCTGCCCTCCCAGCAGCCAGCTGTGCCCCCTTGGCAACATGACTGGCGGCTCAGGAGGTGCCAGGCCTGAGGCTGGGCCTGGAGCTCACATCACTCGTCCCCAGACACAGGAGGTCCCAGTGTCCCACCAGGAGGCAGAGCCTGGCCCAGAGAGAGTCCAGGAGCCTGCTAGACTGGGCCAGAGTCTGTAAGGGGTCACTGCAAACGGCCTGTGGGCACACGCCCCTGCAGATGGCTCAGAAGGCTTCATGTCCCCCGGCCGGCCACCCTTCAGAAACGCTCTTGACTTCCAAATGAATCACCAAGCCTAAAGCCACCGCCACATTCACAAGGCCATTTGGGTCCCTGTGAATCYCCGAGGTGGCTGAGCAGGGCTGGGTCTCCAGGGTGCAGTGTGGGAGCTGAAGGAAGATGAGGCTGCTAAGAGGTGACGGCCGGGAGGCTGAGGCCATCCTGGGCCCGGGATCCTCGAGGCTACCTTCTGAGCAGCGCCACCTGCCATGCCCCTTCACCTGGGCATCTCGCAGTTCCGTGAGAATTCAGGTAGAACTGGGCTGGGGCAACTCTGCGGAGCAGGTGCATAGTGGAAGGATCTTTCTAGAACCATGCTGAGGTGGTTCTGATCCTGCATCCACCATCAGATCAGCCTCCTGCTGTCACTCAGGCCACCTGTCCTTTGTTGTGGGTTGAACTGTGTCCCCCAAAGTACCCTGAGTGGGACCTCGCTTGCCGATGCGATGAAGCCAAGCTGAGGTCATGCTGGATCAGGGTGGCCCTACAGACCACTGTCCTTAAAAGAAGGGGGGATCCAGATGCCCATCAGGGCCACCCAGCCATATGATGATGGAGGTGACCGAGACCCGAGCGCGCAGGCCGAGGAAGGCCAGGGACTGCCAGGGACTAGAGACCACCAGGCCCCGCAGAGCCTCAGACAGGGCGGGGCTGCCCACACCCTGAGGTCGGCCTGCCAGCCTCCACAACAAGGAGGAAATGAGAATCTGCTGTTCTCAGCCACCTGGTTCATGGAACTTGGTCACGGCAGTCCCCAGAGCACAGCATAGGAAGACTGGCTAAGCGACTGCCAATCTTGCAAGTTCCTTTTGAGGGGATCTTGAAGGGAAATATAGACAAAGAGCCCAGCGCAGGAACCAGACCTTCCCATTCTACCTTGAAAGATTGGTGCGAGGGACAGTGGCCTCCAGCAGCCACCTTCATGTCCTTCCCCCCAGGTCCCTCCAGGTCACCTGCCCTCCGCGGGTACACCCAGATCGGGGACACCCCGCAGGAAGGAGCCTACTTTTGTGCTGTCCCCAGGTGAGGCTGCCACAGAAGGGAGCTTTAGCCGTTCAGGCAGCTGACCCCCAGGGTGCCAGGGCACGGCAGGGGGGCCACAGGCCCTGACCCAGCTCCAAGAGGCAGGTGTGCGCAGGGGACTCCCTGGAGGCAGCCTTGCCCTTCCTTGGCCTTGGGGACATGTCCTCAAAGGACAGGCAGAGCCCTGGGGAGCATCCTGCCCCAACCTGGGGAGCGCAGAGACCCCTCCAGGACATTCCCAGCCCAACCCTCCCTGCACCCACAACCCCAGCCCCAGAGGGGGATCCGGGTCTACTCATCTCTGCAGCCTCAGGCCACCCGCCAGTGCCCACAGAGGTCTGTAAGTCATCCATCAAGCCCTGACTTCTGTGGGTTTTGGTGCCACTTTGCCCCAACCAGGCCCAGCCCCACTTTGCTGAGCCCCTGGGAGTTTCTCAGGAGGAAACAATGCAAAGCCCACTGTTCCCCGTACCTTGAGGAGGGTGGTCTTCGTGGGATCCAGTTTTGAGTTGCACTCCACCTGGGTGACGGGGAAGAACTTGGTCAGATTCTACCTGACGCCAAAGTCAAAGCCCTCCTCCTTCCCTGTGCTCTGTGCCACCACCAGAGGCTCTGTGCCCCTCGTGCTGAAGAATGAATGTGGGCTTTGGGGTTAAACAGATGTGGTTTAAATCCTAGCCCTGCCATGGCTAGCCGTGTGGCCTCGGGCAAGTAGTTGAACTTCTCGAGCCTCCATTAATGGGGACAGCATCTTCTTTCAAAGAGCTGTTATGAAGACTAGGCAGAAAACAGAAGATGCTCTAGAAACATCTGCTAAATGGGCGGCCATGCTTAACTAGCCGCTATCGGGGATTCTAGAGTCTTCACATCCCAGTCCTTGTTCTTCCTATTAAATCACATCTACCGAGATGATTCCTTTCTTCCCTTTGTCAGTGGCCCTCCGAAAAGTGGCATCCAAAATTAAGCAGTATAGCTATATTCAAAATTCCTCAAGAAGAACCATCAACCCCCTTCATGTGAACAATATATCTCCATTGATACATCCTGCGATTATCTTCAGTGACTCATGGTTCATTAGAGACACCCAGGTCTTTACTACATTCCGTAGCTTGCTGCATAAGACATGTCAGCAATCTAGGGCTATGACCCCTCTCACCCAAGCCTCCCAGCTCCCAAATGTGGGGTATCCTATAGTTCGAGTCCTCTCTGTCTCCACAGCGCCGAGGTGAGTATTAAGGGGTAAAAGGAGCCAGAAAGCTCTGCCTAAGCCCGATCCCCTGCCACTCTCCCCGCCAGACAACCGGGCAGCAGTGCAGGTGGGAGGAGCCCCCTGACTCCAGAGGAGGGGAGTCCCATGGCCAGGAAGCCAACGTGTTCTGCACACCCATGAAAACAAGCCCGTGGGTGGGGACCCCGGAGAGGAGCCAAGGGGAAAGGCCAGGGCTGGTCTCCCTGCCCAGAGGCCAGGTGACATTTAAACCATCCCCTGCACTGACGGGGGCCAAGAGGTAGGGGCGGCGGGGAGACTGCCCACAGCATCACCAGACGGAGACCCCTGATGACCGGCAGAAACCAGGGGCTGATTGCCACATACCACAGCGTCCACGGCAGGAGAGTTGTCCCCGACCACCAGCAAAGCAGGGCACCTGAGGTCAGGAGAGAAAAAAGGAGTGAGCACAGGTCACACTCCCAGGCCTCCTGGTTTCCCCAGCATCTTGGCTCCTCGACGTCACTCTCCCCAGTCTCCATTCTGCTCTAGTAAAACGGGTGAGTAGTCCTTACACCTCAGTCTAAGTTTCAACCAGAGAAGGTCTGTGTCCTGGAGTTCCTATTTAAAGTGCCCTCTTCTCCATGCAGGCCCGATGGTGCACACCTGTGATCCCGGTGGCACAGGAGGATGGTGAGTTCAAAGCCAGCCTCGAGCAGTTTAGTGAGGTCTTAGCAACTCAGTGAGACCCTGTCTCTAAATAAAATACAAAATAGGGCTGGGGGTGTGGTTTAGTGGTTGAGTGCCCCTGAGTTTAATCCCAGTACCTCCCCAAAAATAAAATAAGAAGTGCCTCCTCCTCAGGGAAGGATGCACATGGCCAGTCATCAAGACAGAGGTAAGAACGGTGTGAAGGATGAAGACAGTGACCTGTGTCTAGTGCCCCAGGGTCAGACCCCACGGTGCATCTGGGGGGCACAGAGACACTGGCACCATGGGTAGGACCTCAGCTAGCTGTGTCCACCTCCTCCTAGACGTGCAGGCTCTCTCAGGGCACTCTGTGCCGTTGGTCACTCCCAGCCACCAACATGGTGGCTCAACAAAGGTGTGAGGTCCACACTGCAGTCACCTCCAAGAATGTGGCTGGCGTTCCTCCTCAGAGACCACTCCCATGGAGCCCCCACCCTCCAGAGCTGACGCAGCCCCACAGGGAGAGCTCAGCCCCTGGGCAGGACACATGGGGGCCCACGGCCTGCAGGGTCCACCCCGAGGGTGGGAGTCCTGCCAGGCTCTGCAACARGCCCCGGAGCAGCCACAAGCAAGATGACAGGCAGCGGGTGCCACCTGCAAGGGTGGGGAGGGGCCACTCACTGAAGGGTGACGGTGTGGGTTCCTGGCATGGGACGCTCAATCTCCAGGTCCCGGCGGCTACGGACAGGAAAGGCATCGTTAGCATCAGCAGACCCGACCCTGGAGAAGCCCTGGGGGTCCCACTACTGGCCTCTGGACACACCCACACCAAGACCTGCGTGAGGTCATGTGGCTGTCAGGACACCACCGCCTCTTGGTGGGCACAGAAGCAGTTAAGGGGAACTCAGGGCTCCTACATTCCCAACAGAACCCACCTCATTTTGTCCCACGTTACTGTCTTTTAATAGCACCACAAATCATGCCCTCCATTACCGAGGGAACCTATCTCCCTGTGCCCCTGGTCAGAGTCCCCACCTGACAAATGGACCAGCCTCCCCATGGTCCCCAGCCTCCACTCGTAACCTGAGTCCTGTCTCACCCACCAACCCTGAGGTCTCTACGTGGTGGCCGATGATCTCTGAAAACCCAGGCTTGCTCTTTCTGCTGCCTGTGGCAAAGTCTCCAGTGGCTTCTCAGTGGTGTGAGGTCCACACGGCCAGCTCAGCACCCAGAAGCCTCCCTGATTCCTCCCACCAGCCTGTGCTTCGCTGCTCTCTCTGTTCAGCTCCCAGTGCCCTTCCTGAAGGTCAGCCACATGGACCTTCCACTGGTATGCGATGGCATCTTCCTGGACAAGGGACGCTCCCTTGGGACAAAATGTCTGGGGCAGAGGCTCAGACCCTCACCAAGCTTTCAYACCCGGTGTCCTTACCAGGAGGCCCTGCCCTGTTAACTAGGAGCTCAGACCCAGGGCCGGCACCCTCTGGGAACTCCGAGCCTCCTCTGCCCCCCCTGGTTCCCAGCCTGCAGCAGAGGCTGCGGCGGGCGCGGTACCTGTTGTAGGCATTGATGAACAGGTGCAGGTTGCCRGGGTTCATGTCGTTCAGGATGTGCTGGCGGTAGGTGTGGACCACCTCCACGTTGCTGTGCATTTCCTCCTGCGTTTGGAGAGAGGGAAACAGGCTCAAGGCGCTGCGGCCTGGGCGGGGCACGGCTCTGCCTCCTCCAGGTTATTCAGGCACAAAGTGAATCCAGGAGATCCGGTGGAGCCCAAGGAGGGCCTGAGGAATGCAGTGGGCAGCACTGGGTTGTGAGGACCACAGGCAGCAGGGGGACCAGCCCTGGAAGGCACAGCCCAGCCCAGGACCCCCGGCTGGGGAGTCTCAACTTGAAGGCAGGCCCCTGGACAGAGAGCTTGGTAACGCCAATGTCCCTCTTTTGGGCAAATCCTTTAACCTGTCTGGGCCTCAGGTGCCTCAAAAGTGTGTGTTTTGGGTGGGTGGGGGGCTGCATGCTGCCTACCTCACCAGGCATAAGACCCCAGCAAAGGGTGCACAAAGTCCTTTGCAAACCAGCCAATCTGATGCAAATGTCAGCAATTACTCTTGGAGGGAGTTAAAGTTTTTATACTTGAAAAATCAAAACCATCTCCTGCACTAGGAAGTCACTGGAAAGAGGGGGAGTCTTGTTCCCAGCCGACAGCCAAGCGCGACAGAGGTCCGCCGAGGCCTCGCTCGCTGGCTGCTTTCTGAACAGGAACATGATTTGGGACAAACAGGCCATGTGCTGCTTGGTTTCCAGTGCGTACAGTGACAGGCGCTGTGGTTGTCACGAAAGGATCTGATGTGACCAGGGGCAAGCAGAGCAGGGCAGAAGAAGAAAGAAAACCAGCAACAAGCCCCGGCTGCTGAGAGTGGTTCACAGTCACTGGAGCAGGAAGGAGGCCAAGAGGCTATTAAAAGAAAAATCAGGAAATAGTTCCAGGAATCGAGCTGGGATCTCTGATGCAGTCAGACAGGTGGCAAGGGGAACAGGAGACTCCACGGCCCGACCTCCCGGGCTCCAAGCTCCTGGTACAGTCAGGATGGACGCCTGGGCTGCATCTCTCACCTTTCCTTCAGGGAACCAGAGATGCTGGCTGGGAATTAAGAATTCCTAACATGCTCAGGGCAGAGGAAAGGCCTCTCCAACTGGGGTGAACCACAGAGGAAAAAGACAGCTGTAGCCTGCCAAAGAGTGGCCCCCAAAGACGTCCACATCCCCCAGTACTTGTGGGCATTACTTAGGAAAAGGGTCTTTGCAGATGTAATTAACTAAAGGATCATCCCAAATCCATGGCCAGTGTCCTCAGCAGAGCACAGAGAGGGAGAGTTGAGCCAGGCAGAGTCCTCCTGGGCCATGTGCAGATGGAGGCAGAGATCAGAGTGAGCAGACACAGCAAGGAAGGGGACCCCTGGAAGCCAGGAGAAGTGGGGAAGCTCCCCAGGGCCTGTGCAGGGTCAGCAGCCCACCAACGCTCGGCTTCAGCCTCCATCTCTGCACCGGGAGAGGGTGGCTTCTGTTTCTGGAAGTCCCTTGGTATACAGCAGCCACAGGGAACTGGCCAAACCTGGTGGACACCCCTCACCAACCCCCAGGCAGGACATCTTCTGTTGCCCTGGACTCGGGAGGGCACCAGACAGTCACGTGCGCTAGCCCAGGACAGCACAGACAGTAAACAGACAGGTCACCTCGGGGCTGGGAGACCAAGGGTTTCCCCAGGCCCTGGATTTGCACCCAAGCACACAGCACAGCACCCTAGGCTGCCAGCCCTGGCGACGGCGAGGGAGGTAGAGCCCAAGGCAGAGGCCAGGCTGATCACTGCCTGCCATGGGCCTGGCTCTGCCCTCAGTGAGCCAACTCTGCAAACAGTAGCCCATCTCAGAGCCAGGCAAGAGCACAGGTGGCCAGCAAGGGCAGGATCACAAGAATGGACATTGGAGACAGACTCATGGGTTCCAGTCCTCACCATAGTGCGCCCCGGCTGTAGGACCTTACATAAGTCACTCAACCTCTCTGGTCTCGCTTTTCCTCATCCGCAGACTGGGAATGGAACAGTATTGATCCCAGAGATCACAGAGCTCCAGAGCAGATTCGTGAGCCAACACTTGCAAAGCCCTTAGGGCCAAGCCCGGCACCCAGCTAACCCAGGACAAGTTTGCTGTGGACTTTATCTGTAATAACCCCAAACAGAGAAGAGCCCTAAGATCCATAAACAAGTGAACAGAAAATAAACTGTTCCATCCAGAGGAAAGCCACTCACACAGGGACAGAAGGAAGCACGGACGCTCCAACGGCGTGGGCAGATTTCTAACTAATCACCAGAGTGAGAGGGGCAGACCAGGGAAAGGAGCACGCGCTGTGTGGCACCCTTCCCACAAGTCCAGGGACACAGACTGCCCTGGGGAGACAGGAGCAGAGCAGCGCTGCCTGGGAGGGTCACCAAGGGCACGAGGAAGCGTCCCGGGGAGACGGAGACGTTCATTATCTTGATTTCGGTGATGGTTTGACAGGTGTTCGCACACACCAAGTTTGTAAAACAAAATACGTGCTGATTACCGTTCTTCAGAAGAGGTTTGCAAAAGGCCTGTGTTTAAAGAGGGGAAGAAGGGCCCAGGAGAGAGCTGGTGAACACCACAGGGTCACCTGTCCGCCAGGCCACGCCACTCACCTTCCCAAAGAGGTGGGACACAACCATGTCTGGCAGGGCTTGGGTCCATCCAGAGATCTGCAGAGAATCAAAGCAGGGGTGTAAGAAACCAGGGTCCACCGCAGTGAGGAGGTCAGCAGAACCCCACTGCCCAGGGGAGAGCGGCACTGCCGGGTCCCCAGCCTTCGGGTCTTGAGGACACCCCCCTAGAGTTTGGAAGGGGGTTGGTCCCCAGAGGCCCGTGTGTCAAGGTTTGGGCCCCCACCTGGTGCTGCGAGGAGGTGGTGTGGCCTTCAGAAGGTGGGGTCTAGTGGAAGGTCCTCAGGACACTGGGTCGTACCCTTGAAGGGGACCATGGGACCCTGGTCTCTTCCTCCCTTTTATCTGTTGCCTCCTGGACACAAGGCAAGCGGCTTTCCTCGGCCACAGGCTCCCCACCATAGTGTGCTGCTCACCACAGGCCCCGATCAGGAACCGAGGTCCCCAAAGCCGGGACCTGAGAGCAGAAAGTCTGTGGCCGGACGGAGTGGCCGAGCCTCCCCSCATTCCCTGCCTCAGAGCCCCGGGCTCGGCGTGCACAGAAGTGGGGTCTGAGCTCCGAGCTTCCCAAGCCAGCTCCGAGCTTCCCAAGTTCTCAGCAAAGAAGCCCCTGCACCCCTCTTCTGGACACACACTGAGCCTCCTGGGCCACACCCCAGGATCCGCTCAGCCCCGACTATCCCTCCTGTGTCACGCTCTGGCTCTCTTCCTCATGTCAGTTTCCTTTCTCTGAACTGACTGAGGTCACCGAAGACCCTTCCTCTCTCCCCTCAGCAACAGGCTGTGCATGTGGCAGGAGCTCCGTGAATGCCACCTTACACCAGGCACTCCATAAATGCTATGTATACTGTAGGGGCTCTGTCAATACTGAGCATGGAGAACAGGCTCCGTGAAGGTGCTGACTTCAGCAGCAGCAGGGACTGATGGAGGGAGGAGCCCTTGCCCTAGGGTCCCGGCTGCCCCTGCTGTCACCTCCCATGATGTGGTGCTGTGCATCACAAGACCGGCGAGGGCTACGGGAGGCAGTCGGCACCCGGCCTGACACGCAGGCCAGACCCAGGCCACCGCACCCAGGTCGCAGCTCCCCAGGGCTGGGGCTGAACAGGAGGACAAGGTGCACAGAGCAAGGCCACGGTGTGCCTCCTGCTCCAGTGGGCCATGTCCCCAGCCTCCACGCCTGGCTCACAACAGCTGTCCAGAAGCCAAACTGGCCAGCCAGAATGTCACTTCCTCTGCTGGAAAATCTAATAAAAACCAGGGCATGGGCCACACTCCTGCAAGTCACATCACCCAGGAAGTAGGGCGGGCCCGAGGGAGAAATGCACAGGACAGCAGAGGACTGGGGGGGGGGGACCGCGCGACCCACGAGCCCTGTCCCCACAGCCACCCCAAACTTGGCAAAAACACGCTTTCACGAGACGCTGGGTCACCCCAGCCTGACAGCTTTGTGCGAATTCATTCAGAACTATCCCCCCCTCCTTGGCAGACACTGGGGCCTTTATGGGAAAGAAAGGAAGGAAAAAAAACAACAATCATCATTTTAAAAAGATAAACAGGGAACCTCAGGGCAGCAGCCAGGGCAGGGCTCCCGGAGACAGCTCAAGCCACTTGGCCTGCAGGCAGCTGTCCTGTGGCTCAGGCCTGACTGTGCCCCACTCTGGCCCAGAATCCCCAGCCCCAGAGATAGTCAGGCCAGGGACCATGGTGTCCAAGTGCTATACACCCAGTCCCAGATGTGCCCCTAGCTTGTGTGACCTAGACCTTTACTTGACCACTCAGACCCCAGTTTCCTCTTCTGTGAAAGTTTAGGAGAACCCCACCATGAGCGTGAAGTGAGGTGAGACAGTCGACTACAGGAGGGCACGGCAGGTCCCAACTCGGGTGAGCCAACTACCGCGGTGAACCCGGGGCACAGCCACGGCTCCCAGACACGTCAGGAATGGAACCCAGGAGTCCCTAACCACTGAGCGACATTCCCAGCCCCCTCTACTACTTTTTCTCTTTTGAAACAGGGTGTCACTAAGATGCTGAGGCTGGCCTCCTGAATCACTGGGATCATAGGCACGTGCCGTGGCACCCAGCAGTACATGGATTCTTAAGAAGCTTTTGTCTTGTTCGTCTCAGGAAGATGGTTCGTCAAGATATTCAACAGTTGAGAGAAGCCGAGCATGTGACAGGAGCCCAGCAAATACTTAAGAATTGAGCTATTCTTATGGAGCTGGCTGGGGGACCCCTGTCCCTGTGGCACCCCTGGCTTAGACAGCTGCGCCAGGCTGAGGCTGTGTGGCCCTGTCCCTCTGCATCTGGGCCCCCACCAGCCCTACCCTGGCCCCCAGCCTCACCTTGGAGGCCGCCCAGTCCATCCAGCCTTCTGCACAAGGGTTCACATTGATCAGGACGAGGCCCTCCACCATCTCGGGGTTGTTCAGCTGCAATTAGAGACACGAGGTGAGTCAGCCCAGCAGTCTGAAACACGAGGAACCTGGGGTCAAACGGACGCTTGAGAGGAGCACCCAGGAAAGGGCCAGTGGGGGGCACCAGGACAGACTGCTGCTCTCCGTCCTCCACCAGCCACTGCCCAGGCAAAACTAGACCCGGCCTTCGAGAGAGCAGAAGGAGGATACAGCAGGAGGAGGCCAGCCCTGCACTGGGCAGCCTGGGCTGGTCCCTGCGGCTCGCTGGCCTCAGTCCCAGCTGTCGGAGGGGTCAGCAACCCACCCAGCACACAAATCAGGCAGGCAGGGAGACATCTGCAACTCGCTTACTCCTGGGACACACGCATGTACACAGGAGCCACTTGAGACCTCTTATTAACCGGCTCCGAGCCAAGATGGCCAGACATCTGCGTTCGGGCCACATCCCCAACCTCCAGCAAACCCCAGCCAGTATCAGGCATCAAAACACCCACGACTGAATAAAGTGGGTACACGCATCCTCAAAAAACTGTTGGATGATGATACAAAGGGCCCAGGAGCACTTTCCACGGGCTCAAGGTCCCAACGGTGGCAATGGTCCTGCTGCCACGGGAGAATGGGGCACAACTCGGGAGGGGCCCGTCCTGGGCACGAAGGCATGGGCCCTGGACGGAAGAGCGTGCCCAGTGCATTGTTTCAGCAAAGGAAATACAATGACATAAAATAAAAGCCTCGGGTCTGTGCGCAAGAACACACGTCACCCGCACACGAGGGCTGGGCAGCCCCGTCCCAGGGCTCCCTTGGGGACAGGAAGTACAGCGCATTTATTTTCCCCTTTTGGTCTTTTCAGTGCTTTTCCAAATGCCTCTCTTAAATCTTGAGTGAATTTTATTCAAACGTAGTATCTTCAATGCCAAGACTCACCGCAAAGCGGGTCAGGATGTAGGCGCCCGCTCCTGTGCCCATCCCGATGACGCTCTTCAGCCTGCAGGCGGGAGGGAAGGGTCAGGTCTCAGGAGGAAAGAGTGAGGAGCCTCAGCACCGCCGCACCGTCCCCTTGTCCCTAAGAGCCCCCTCTCCTCGGTGTCTGTCCAGTGCAGTGAGGGCACCCTGACGGCCCAAGTTTAAGACTCCACGGAGACCAGCAGCCTGGACCTGCCCCTGCCCCTGTTCTGGGTGGCCGCCGAGGCTCCGAGAGAGGCCTGGCACCCACAGGAAGGCCACAGAGGTGCCGCTTCCTCCCTCTCCTGAGCTTCATTTTGGATTCYAAAATTTGGAATGAAAGCAAATTGGACCAGAACCAGGAGATAGTATCAGCCTAACTTGAAAGGCTCAAGCGGGACAGAAGGGAGCACTGGCAAAATAGGAGTCTGCACAGAGACACTGAGGTCAGGCAGCCCCATTCCAGAACGTTCCATGGAAGAGACTAGGTAGAGGAACAGCAGGCAAGGGCAGGATGGGGGTGGGGCTGCCATTAGTGCCATAACTGCGCARGAAGAAAGGCTCAGGTCCTGCAAGGCCGAGGAGGGTGTCAGGAAGAGCGGGCTGCACGCGGGGCGCCTGCCTGGCCTCTTCTTTCAACTCCTAGCTGCACTTCAGAGGCCAGGCCAGGTCAAGGCCAGGGAAGAAGAGGAGGCTGGGCCAGCCTCCTCTGCAAACTGCGGGGGAGGTGACCTCTCGCTCTTACCCGAACTGCTGAAGGACCCCGGGCAGCATCTCGGCCAGTTGATCCATAGAGGGGTACATGTACCTGGGGGAGACGTGGAAGGCAGGAGGTGAGAGCCGGACCCACTACGGCTCACCCCACTCACCCACCGTGGGGCAGGCCCCACCCRGCTGCCCCAGGCTCGCTACCCCAGCCAGCGTCCCCCGTTTCATTCTGTCAGGATGACTTTTTATGAGCTGCGTCCTCTGTCCCGGGTCCTGTGGGAGAGTCCCCAAAGACTCTACGAGGCTGCTGCTGTGGGGACTATAAACGTCGCTGAGTGTGACAGGCCCCTTGGCCTCCCAAGACCAGTGGACGGTTGGCCACAGACAGCTATCTCCGGCTTTGGAAGGAAGCGTCGGCATGGGCTGGACAGCCACAGCCTCCGTCTCCGGGAGCAGGAACTGGGACAGGCGCGGCCAGACACACGCCCAGCTCTCGGGAGGCCACAGGAGACCATGTGAGCTGGACAGACATGGCCCAGCCCAGGACCCAGCTGGTGAGTCAGCGGAAACCCGCAGGCATGACACACAGCCGGGCTACAAAGGGAACCCGAGGGCTGAGAGGGGACCAGAGATAGGAAGACCCACTCTGCTCCGGTGGGCAGGAGGGGCTTCTAGGGGAAGTGGCCTGAGGGCCCTGGGAGCCTGGAGAGTGTCAGAGATGCTGTCTAGGCGGGGCCGGCGTGTGCAGACGTCCTGCCACGGCCAGGAAGACTGGACGCGTAACCCCAGGGAACCCCGGCGAGCCTTAGGAGAGGGGCGCAAAGACATCAGGACCCTTCCAAGTGCCACAGCTCAGCCTGGGCCTGAAGCTCCCTGAGGGCCCTGGGGAAGCCGCTTCCACCTGCAGGGCTTCTGCTCCCTCCCTGCTCCCAGGTCTGGTGCAGCAGGGGGACAAGGGGATCCTGGGCAGGGCATGGACTTCAGGGCCARGAGCCTGCAGGCGTCCCCACCCGGCATGGCTGACTCAGCACCCAGAGGGCCTGGCAGACCCCACGCCCAGGCTCCAGGAACAAGCCAGGTCCCTCCCACCGTGGGCCCCACCCACTCACTCTGGAGTCAACCTAGTGATCTCAGGGAGACCACCCTCCACGATGGTCTCCAGATCCACTGAACAAAGTCCCTGGAGGTGGGCACACTCCTAGGACCTCCCCGGGGAGCTGGAGCGGCCTGTCTTCTAGTTGACAGTTAACTGTGTCCCTTTGTTTCAAAAGATTTTTATCTCTGATCCTACCACAAGGAGTGGGTGTCCCTTCCTTCCTCTCTGTTAAAGGTTGATGATCAAGAACTCTGGCCACTAAGGAGAAAGGACATCTGCCGGTAAATGCCAAGAAGGACTTTCTAGAAGCCTGTAAGCCAAGGAAGCCCCCCCCTCACATACACCAGGTGCTATTTGGSGGCCAGCAAGCCTGGGCATGGCTGCACCAGGGGACCTAAGGAGGGCTGGGCAGGGCCAGCGCCCTGGAACAGGGCAGTCACATGTGCCAAGGACGTGGGTCTCAGCAGACCCCCTCACCCCAGCRACGTGACCTTGAGCCAGGTGGCTAACCCTCCAGGCCTCTCTTTCTACGWGTCGAAAACAGAGCTCACAACACCAGGCAGAGACCCCTGGCCAGAAAGACGCAGGGCAAAGGGCATTTATAAGTAACAAGTGGAAGCCTGGCCCAAGGAGGCGCTGCATCGGGTCACTGCCYTCCCTCTGTCTTCTCAGCTTTCGAGCTTCTTCCCCCCTGACCAGTTGGTCCTGTCAAACCGACTCCAGGCAGGTCCCACGCAGGGCGAACCCACCTGGCACRAAGCCAGCCCAGCCAGAAACAGGGGTCAGGGCTTAATGGGCTAAAATGGTCAATTTTATGATATAGGTCTATATGGCCACAAAAATGGTTAAAATAGTAAATATTATATTTTATCATGATTAAAAGTTTTTAAAGCCAGCTCGACACTCCCACCCCCAGACTCCACCCCACACAGAGCCCTGGTCTCACCCCACGGGGAAGGAGGGAGCACCATCCTGCTGGCCAGGGGCGTCCACGTGGCAGACGGCAAAGTGCTGGGTGATCTCCTGCATGTCCTCGTAGTTGAAGAGGGGGTTGTAGCAGGTTTTGTCTGGAGAACAGGCGGGGAAGGGGGAATGGGAGGAAGTTAGGGGAGGGAACAGTCAGGTGCAGAGGGCAAAGCACATCTGTTCTGCTACTTTCACTCATACTCAGCAAGGGGACGGAGGACGGGGACATTCCCTGCCCCACTCTGCCCTCCTCTAGGGATAAAGACAAGAGTAAGTCACAGGCAGGGAGCCGGCACGGGGTGGGGACGGCTGTTCATGCAGCGAGTGAATATTCAGCTCCTGCTGGTGCTGGGAGGGGCTCTCCGTCTGGCTCCTGCCCCTCCACAGCCATGTCCTCGTGTCCACCCTACTCCCTTTCTCTCTGGGTCTTCTAGGCCCTCAGCTCTGGGGACTGAGCAGGACACACACCATCTTCAGACAATGGATAAAGCATGGACCCTCCACTTAAGTGGCCTAGGGTGAGGCTGCCAACTGCCCGGGTCCTGAGGCAAAGATGGCCAGTGAACCTTTTCCTGCAGGGCACATGCTGGACTACATTCCCCAAGGTCCTTGTGACCACAGGCTGCCATGTGACTGGGTTCTGGCCAACCACATGCAATGCTCACAGTCTCCTCTCCACATCTGCCGCTCAGACCTCTGAGTCTCCCTCTCTTCTCTCTTGCACCTGCCRGATCACAGGAGCCAGCAGGAGCTGCTGAGGACCCAGGGGTGGCAGAGCCACTAGTTAAAAGGGCCCCACGTCCCTGAGTCAACGCACGGGACATGTCTCACGGAATGCCTCAACTGTGACGGAGTGAGGACAGGCCCATTCTGGGGGCCGCTTGCTACAGCGTTCAGCCTCCCTAACCCTGGGCTAAGCAGGGGAGCGGCAGATCTGACGCAAGTGCACTGCCTTCTCAGAGACCAAGGAAACAAGGTGAGGTCTCCAGAAGGACCTGGCCTGGGACCTGGTACATGATGGACACGAGGGACAGACGGGGAAGTGCAGGGAGCATGAAGGGCAACCTGGCTTCCAGCCGCTGACCTCGTCCCCGCCCCGAAGGCTCACCAGCTGTAGGAAAAGGTGGAAAGGAGGCCGTTCTCCACCCCCAAAGAGCACCCCCCTGCACACTCCAGCTCAGACGGCGCCTTCTGACTCACCGCAGAAACTCACCCTTGTTCCAAGTCACGGTAACAGGGGCTAGCTCCTCTTTTACCCCTCTATGAAAAACTGGCCACCCACACGGTAACACTATCTGGTCATGTAAAGAATTCAAGGTCTAAGCCTTCAGAGCAGCACCGTCCACCACAGCCCAAAGCAGAAAGGGCCCTGTGTCCAACAACTGGAGGGCGGAGAAACCAACGTGGCACGTCCATTCAGTGGAACATTACCCAGCCATAAAAGAAGGAAGCCCTGATCCAGGCAGCAGAGGGCCCCGGGGCTCCTGTGCCAGGACAGTGCCAAGCCCCCCAGAGTGCGTGCAGGGCTTCCCAGTGCGGCGGGAGATCCTCCCCAAACAGTCCCCAGAAGTCCCCCAAGAGGAAGCAGCCAGCTCCAGCCCGTCCTGGGGGACCAGAGGGCCAGTGACCACCCAACCAGGGAACCGGGATCCTCGGAACTTACGGTTCATGCCAATGTCGTGGTACGTGAGGATGACGGGCCGGTTTCCCTTGGGGGTCCCACACAGCGTGACGTGCAGGGAGCCATGTAACGTCTCAATGTCCTGCTCCTGAGGAAGACGGCAGACAGAGGCCCATCACGTGGGGTCAGGGAGCCAGCGTGCCTCCCASTGTGTCGGAGGAAGCTCCGAGCACCCCTCTCCTGTGGCCCCAGAGCCTTGAGTTTCAGGCAGCAGATTTTTCTGGCTAGAAACCACACCCAGAAGAAGAGGGAGGGAGGGAGGAAGGGGAGGAGAGCTCCAGGAGGAGGCAGAGGAAGGAGTCCGATGCCCACCGTTGTTAACTGCACAAAACGCAGGGGAAGGGCMGTCCCGTGGCCTTCTCTGCAATGGACTTTGTTTTCTCCACCCAGAAAACGGAGGCCATGGCAGCTGAGCTTCCTGTCTACCCCGTCTCATGCCTCACCTGTCCCATAGGTTAGTCCCCCTGTGAYGGACGTCTGATGATTTGGGGTTGCCCAGAATTCTCTTCCCATTTCCCAGCTCAGCCTCCAGTTTCCTTGGGAATTCACCCCATTCTCYCCCCAGGAGGTCTGTGATGCTCACTCCTGCCCCCTGTTTCACAGTCCAAAGCCAATTCCTGAACTCTACCTCCCTGTTGGTCACAAGAACACGAGCTGGGTGAGGCAGATCAGAGCYAACTACTGCAGAAGTGGATGGGACAGGACAGAGCAAGGCTAGGAGGGCTGGATCTACAGCAGCCATATTGTTACATGAGGGTGAGGGCCTGCCTGAGGAAAACCCAGGCAGACCAGACACAGAAAAGAGAGGAAAGAGCTCTCAGCATTGCTGTCTACCACCTGGAATGGCTAAGTGGACCACAACTTCCAGCCCCATATAAGCCATTTGGGGTAGACCAGGAGTCCTGAATGATACCATGTCCCTCCTCCTCCTCTTCTCCCCCAGCCTCACAGAGTCAGGTGGCTCCTCTCCCAGGCATGGCAGTTCCCCCAACTGCTTGCTCAAGCAGCCTCCCCCTGTGGCCCCCACTGTCCTTATACTAAAGCCAGCCACTAAGATGGGACCTACGTCAGTCACTGCCTGGTTGTGGAAAGAGGAAGCCCAGAGTTCACAGCCTCCTGTGGGACAGGAAGGGCTGGTGGGCCACCACCTAGGAGCCCTCTCAGCTTGGGCACCTGGACCCCACTGGTAACGTGGAAGGTCGTCGGTCCCCCCTCCTGGGGATRGTGGAGACGCAGAGCATACAGCAGGTGGCGCTGTGCGTACGCTCTCCTATGARGCCCAGAGACCCAGCCACACCACTGTCTACACAGGCTGCGCGGATCACACCTTGAGGTCCCAGTGAGACTGAAGCCGGTTCAACTGCAGCCAGCCAATAYGCCAGGCTCCCTCAGTCCTTAAAGTAGATAAGAACTCACAAGCTACAGGAGGTGGTGGGTCCCAGGATGGCAGGGACCTGGGTTGCGGGAGCTGAAGGAGAGGACTGTGGCCCCCAGGGGGCGGTGGGAAGAGCCAGAAAGGCTGGAATCCATAAAGCCAGCAGTTCCCCAACCGGGAACGGACCCCCAGGCCCCCCCTCAAGAGGATGGAAGCTCAGTATCACTTTAACCAAAACATGAAAATCCTGTCCCCATCCCAGGCAGAGGGGTGCAGGGACTCCCAGCAATCACCTCACAGAAGCAAAGCCGGCCAGCCTGGGGCCACCACGGTGCCTGGTGGAGGGGACTGACCCTCCCAGGGTGCAGAGGGCCTGCCAGGAGAGGGTGCCCACACAGGCCCAGGACAGAGAAGGCTCCCTGGTAGTGCCCAGGCCCACCAGRACAGGGTCCGCCTGGCCATCTGCCTTATCACCCCCCAGGTAAGTCACTGGATACCAGAGCTCTCCGTCTTCCTGTCCCCTTCCTTCAGGGCCCAGCACTTCTTTCCTCCCATAACAAGCTGGAAAAATCCATGGCCTCGGAGCAGCGGCCCAGCCCAGTGGAGCCCCAGATCATCTGTGGGCCCTGAAGCCRTCACGGGAACAATGGCTCATTATGGGGCCACATTCTTTATTGTCTCCCAGGCTGACCCACAGGGCTCCTTCTAAAAATAGGCCAAGCCGGGCAGTCCCCTAGGCCTGCTGACCTCGGGGTCCAAGTCTGCATTCCACCCTGCCCCTTCCCGTCGCTCTGCGCCTTGAGGTCCTCGCCTCTCCACCTGGGCTCCTAAAGGTGGAGACCACCACGCAGAGTAGGGCAAGCCCCCAGCGGAAAGGGGGTCCTTGGCACATGCAKCACAGAGCTGAGACAGGGTGGCAGAGCTGGGACACCTGGCCCACTGGTTAGACTGTCCGGGGTGGCCCCCAGGGTGGGGGTGGGAGCAGATTTGGACTCGTTCTTTGGTGATCTTACTAATTACCAACCTTAACTGGAAGGGCCTACCCATCAGTCACAGGGGGAAAGGCCAGCTGGCCATGTTCAGGCCTGGCACAGCCATCTGCATGCAGAGGGGCTCAGTGTCCGCTGGCAGAGCCTCTGGAGCCCTGGGTAATGTCCGCAGTATCCCTGTGCATCCTCCACGGGGCACCAGTCCCCTCTGGATCCACTCTCCAGCGCCTCTCTCCAAACTGCCACACACTCATCCAGTCCTTCTGGACACCCAGGACCAGGGAGCGTCTGCACAGCCCAGCTGGCTCACCCTCACCAGGGAGCACAAGAGGTCATCGCCATGGCCACTGCCTSGGCCTGCCCGACCTTGTGCCTGAGCAGGTCCTGGAGGAAGAGGCGTTCGCCATGGTTGGCCTCTTAGGAAGGACAAAGGCCTGGGGCTCGGGAAGTGGAAGTGACACTGGGGCACAAGGTGCAGGCTACCTCTGGTCACAGGTGGCCCTAGGGAAGAGTACCTGACACACAGCCGCAGGAACACCTGCAGACCAATGCTATGGGTGGAGAGACCTAGGGCACCTCCCCAAGGTCACCAGCTTGCAGAGGAAGAACCAAGGTTAGGGCCTTTATCTGCAGGGTCCTGTGTCCTTGTGCCAAGGGTCTGCTGGCCCCCATCATCCCTGGTGAGGTCCAGGTCCACCAGCCCACACATAAAGGAGGAGGAGGAAGAGAGGTGGGTGCTGGGGTGCCTGGGCGCCAGAGCCTGTGCCCCACGTTACGCACTGTGCTCAGGCGGTTCTGAGCCAACCCTGGCGCACGCTCTCCATCAGCCCAAACCAGGAAGACTGCGTCTGAGACTGAATGGGAGAATGAAAATAGCCACAGACACACACCATTGTCCTCTTCAGTCCCAAAGGAACRCTCTGTCCTCCTGTCCCTGTGGGGATCAATCACCCACTGTCCTGCAGGGAGGAACTTGTCATATCTCCCACGATCTCACCGACACGAGGCACCAGAAACCCAAGCCGCCACCAGAAACCGGCGGCCACAACCGCAGGACGCTCTGCATGTCCTCCAGCCTGATGGGGGAACACCTGGCTCGGGCTCCCTGGAAGGCACCCCTGGCGGGGACCATGGTGGGAACACACACCCCSTCCTCCACCAACCAGAACCCATCCTCAGCTGCCCTGCAGCTCAGAGGCAGACTGCACAATCCCTGCTCAAGGGGCCTCACCAGCTGGGAAGGTACCAGACAAAAGCCAGGCCACCCTGATCTTCCATCCACTGATCAGCSAGACCCTAGAGGGCTGCTCTCCCGAGGTGCAGGTGGTGGCGGTGGCRGTGGCRGTAAGGACCTTCTCAGCCAAGGCTCCTCACCCCAGGCCCTGCCTGAGCATCCTACATGTGCTTGCTCAGCAAATCCCCAAAGACCCATCAGGGAACAGCCATCTGTTCTGCGCAGASGAGGAAACTGAGGCTGAGAGAGGTGGAGAAACTTGTCTAAGGTTGCACAGCAGGAGTGGTGAGGAGGGCCTTGAGCCCCACTTGGATTTGGACAGTCCAAGTTCAAAGCCTGCTCTCTCTACATCCCTGTTTTGTGCAGAGTGCCAGATGTTACGTGAAGAAGGAGTTCCGGAAGGCCTGACACGCGATCCACAGTGGACTCGCTAAAGGGGGCCACAAGCAGGCTCCCCACATTTATGTGACTTCAGCCCTGGCAGCTCCAGGATGGAGCGTTAACACCTCTCCTGGGCTCTGCTAAAGCTGCAGGGACTCTTGGGGACTGACGCCATCTACACTGCCTGAGCCAGCAAGCAGTAAGCACGGCACCTGCTGCTGCGGTCTACACTGCCCCCCACTCCTACCCTGAAGATCTCATCTCTCCGGCTGCCCCTCCTGGCGAGGGAGCGCCGCGACCCACGTGACCCACGGCCGACTCTTGCTGTGGTCATCCCAAACAGCCGGACCCTTCYTTTTGGCAACAGAATTCCAATTGTGGGCCCCACAGATTGTGCCTGGTAAAATTCCCTTCCCCATTCCCCGGCATCAGAAGATGGTCAGAGGCTCAGCTGGCCAAGACCATGTCAGCAGAACTTGCTGGGGCTTCGTGGAGAGCTTTGTTTGTTTAAGTTCCAACCTTGGAACTTTCCTCTTGCCCTCCACCTGCTTCCTCCCTGGAGCACGGAYAAGATGCTGGGGACTTAGCAGCCACACTATAAAGGAAAGACAGGAGCTACACTCAGGGTGACAGAAGAGGGAGGAACCTGGGCGGGTGACATTCACAGCACGCTGGACTAGGCCTTCCAGGTGTCAGCAGGTACAGCAAACATTTCCTGGTGAGGTCACTGCTGTTGAGTGGCATTAACCCTAACGACACATCCACCACGTGCCCTTGGCCATATTATGGACTTCCTCTGAGAATCTCTTCCCTGAACTGTAAACGGAGGTCAGTAAGGAGCCTGCCTGCTCCCCAGAGCTGTTCCCGGGACTCAAACCACCACTGGGACCTAGACACTGTGTCACAGTGTCGCCCTCCTCGTCAGTCATCACAGACAGCTGTTCTAGAGATGACTACCATGACGGGCAAGGTCAAATGGCTGGACCATCCGGGGCTGTGGAGACCAGCGGCCGCACCCTCCATCATCCCCTCCTCTCAGCGGGCCCAGGCAGATGCTCTAAGAGGATGACAGCTTACCCAGGCTGTCAGTCAGAGGGTGCGTGCGGTCA